AGCAGCCTACCAGACTGACAGCTTTTAGAATGATATAGCAGCACACAATTACGCCTGTAAATGATGTGAAGTAAAATTACATTCAGTCATTAAGCATAACTATCAATGATATGATGTCAACATTCAATGTTCTACAATCTATATCAAATGATGAAACATGCAAGCAGATATAATCACAATCAACTCTATCTAAAATTTACTGAATAAACAATGATCAATGGTTATGAAGTGATCAATCATAGACAGTTAAATGATACCATCCATTTATTTATTTAAAAAGTTATATTATACTTTATAATCTTTCTCCATGTATAAATTACTAATTTTAATTTAGACTATATACTGGCAGAAGAGTTAAAGTTAAATTTAAAAAATTTACTATCATTAGTCTAGGAGTGATTAGCCAAGTCCAAATCCCGGACGAGCTTCCAGTGTGACGTTACGGCCCACTCCCTTGGAAAGTACAACACTTTTAGTGTGACGTCCCGGGTCGTGGGTTCTCTGGATTTGGGTTTAAATGATTTATAGGTTGAGTAGGGATTTTCCTCTTAACACATCCCCTCCACCAGATTAACTGAACTATTATCTGGGCTATGTTGCTCTCAGACAAAGTCCTGGATATCCAAGAAAACAGCCATATTGGCTCGTTATTTATATTAACTTTAGCTGAACTTGGTACCCACAAGAGAAGGAAATGGGTTTTAGATGTCTATATATTATTATCTTGAATTATTTACTAGACAGGGCAGTTGACCCAATCCGTCGACCTTCTCTTGGTACAGAATTATTATTATTATTTAATGAGCCCCCACCAAATGCTATTCTATCTTAACATTTTAATTAAACATGTAAGAACAGATACACTTGGAATTATAAAAACTGATGCAGGATAAGACCACATATTTGATTTATTAACCTAGCAATCAGAGTATGACATTAGTCATCATTATTGTTATAATAGATAGTGATGGTATGGTGATAATGAGATGCTTCAGCTAACTGAGCACCTAAGATTAGAGTGAAGTGATAATGGTGGTGTTTAGTTACATAAATACATTTTACATATCTTTTTAGAAAGTGGAACCTCTGAGAGTCCTCGTGTTGAGTCCCTTCTTAGCTGTTCCAATCTTTCCGCCCAGTTCTCCTGGTCCTTCCACCTGGTTCCCTGGTTCCCACCTGTTTCCCAGCTGGCCGAGTTCTAACACAATGTAGTCTCGTGACCGTGATGACCCTCTATTTCTGTTTTTAGAAAAGACTGATCCTCACCCACATGGAAGAAAGAACTATTTCAAGCAGAATGTGTAGACAAATTAGGAAAAGGTAGAATAGATTTTAGCTAACTCCCTAACCTATGTATACAAGATTGAAAATAATTGTACATCCTTACCTGGAAACTTCCAGCAATCGCCAAACTCGAATCAAACCATTAGATTTACCTCTAAGGTCGACCTGTTTGTTGCCTGTGGCAGCGATTATGACAGAAATTCCAGGGCTAGTCTTATTAATACCCCTATCTGTCTGCAAGGTTAAACTCCACCCTCTACTAGGTTCTACCCAACTCTCAAGGAGATGACTTAAGCCCCGCCTCTGAGGTACCTAGCAGATCAACCTAGCTATCAATGGGCCTGTCACTCACAGTGAACGGCCTACAGTACGACCTTGACCAAGATCAAACATTCCTAATTGCCAAACATCTGTTCTCTTGAGAATTTCACTATCATGTGTGAAACTTCAGACCCCGGCCCCCTCAATGTGTGTTAGGTACCCTTTTATGACACTACGGTCGGATTCAGGGGAGCTAATCAGGTGTGATACGAAGTTATCTCCCCCTTTACTTGCCTCTACAGACTGGGCAGGAGATAATTATATGACATGGGTATGTGAAACTCTAGCTACAGTAGTATTAGGTAATATCACATAACGCCAGGTTGCTTTGTCTGGCGAGAGACTGAAAACACAGTTTAAACAATTCTCAAATCCCTTGTAGTGGTTTTAGAACTATTTTAGGCTCAGTGTCTATTGCTCTTAATTCTTTGTCCCTCTCTGAACATAAGAAATTATTAAGCACAATATAACTTCTGAGACCACTGAGGTCATTTCATCACACCTGTCTAGCAATGAGATATCTGCTTGATTTTCCGACCTTGAATCAAAGGATCAAGATCTGCAGGACTCGTGCATACCTTAAAATAAGCGCTGATTTAGCCCCCCTCCCCCCCCCCCCCCCCCCCCCCCCCCCCATTCAATGCATCAAGCTCTCTACACCCTAAAAAGCGACAGGCTGAAGAAGGGTAAGTCATGGCTTGGTCGGGCAGAAGATGTCATCTAGCAAGTATGTAGCCCAACCAATATCACTCCTGGTGAAGAGTGGATACCCGTGCCTCCTGTGTTCAATTGCAACTTTTCTTGTTATTGTCACGCTCGACAGAAGATGCAGGGAGCCGAATGCTGCTGTGGTTAATGCAGAAGTCAACGATCACATCAGCGATAAGTCAAAAGAAGCAGATTTACTGACCTACACAGACGTATCTGTTATACGACAATAAAGAAGTGCATGTGTGTTTACAGCACGCTCAGCGGGCAGAACAATCAAAGAAGCCAGCGGTACCTACTCCATGACAACAAGCAGCGTCATGATGGAGGTGATGGGGGTAACGCAGCCATTCGTATGGCTAACAACAGAAGACTATATCCGTGGGTATATACTTAGCGATTGTATGAGCATGACTCAAAAGATCTAGGCAGGTTCTGTGCGAAAGCAGTGGATTGAACCATTACAGAAGTCCACTGTGCGTAACGTCGTCTTTATCATCGTTCCGGGGAACGCAGGCGTCGATGGAAACGAAAGGGCTGATAAGTTGGCTGGATTCGCTATCTCTGGCTTAAGTTTAACCCACGGATCGTGCTGATATTAGTGATGCCCTGAGAGAAGTGGAAAGGGTGCAGGACTTCCACATCACCAGCATAAAAGACTCGGGAGTTAAGTTCGGCATAGCCAAAAGCGAAAGACACACTGGGCATACAAACAGACATCACTCAACAAAGAACTATTAGCCATACGGACATCCACTAAAGAGGTCCTTAATTTTCTGTTGTTTCAGTGGTGGTCAGTCTGGTTCTTGGTCACCCCAACTATTGAATTCGAAGTTAATTTATAAATTTTCCCTGTGAAAAAAATGGTGCCGTCAATTCATCATTATCGTGTAGCAGGTCCTTTGCAGAACGTCGCTCTCATCACAGTCTGCCTGAAAGAAACTCGGTCTCTCGCCAGTTCTCCCGCCTCATGAACTTTCACACTCAAGGAGTCACTTATATCCTGTGCCCATCTTCGTGTCGGTTGGCCCCTGCAACTCATTCCTGGTACCACGCTTTCTGCTATAATTTTTTCCAATCCGTCGTGGCGCTTAATATGACCAAAATATTTCAGCTTTCGAGAAATGATGCTGTTTATTAGCCAATCTTCCTTGATGTTCAGATCTTTCAAAATGTCAATATTTCTCCTCTTCTTTGTCCAAGATATTCTGAGAATCTTTCTATAGCATGTCAGCCATTTGCCGCCAATTATTAGGTTTAATTTCATAAATCTGCTATCGTTCTCCATTTTTATTCTTTGTGTTGCCTTCTTTCTGTCCCATTGCTATTTCTACCTCCACCTTGTAAAAATAACGCAAGAAATAAAATAGCTGGGTATTCGATTTGATCGAAACCTAGCTTATCCTGAGCACACAGGCTAGGTGATGAAGACCACTTTTCATCCAAAGTTGTAATGTTAAATGATTATGAGTACGAAGGTGGTTAATTAGTGATAATTGGATGAAAGTAACTTGCGCCAGGACTTGAATTTAAGTGAGGAAGAGTTGAGCACTTCGTCAGTGGCCGCGTTAGCGCAGTCGATAGGAGACATGCTTTCAATCCAGCTGCGACTCGCAGCGGTCCACGGCCGGTGTTCGAAACCAGACGGTTCCCGGAACCGTCCCGGAGTTCACCCAGCCTCTAGGTAATGCGTACCAGAGTTAACACTCTGTGGTAAATGAAGGAACGTCACTGTTGCTACGGAGTTGCGTGCAAACGGCGACACACGCGGATAGTTTCTTATCAGCCGTCCGCACTGGTGGCAGAGCACTTATGGTTTATAACCATGTGCAATGACGCTGGTTCACATCTCCGGACTTTACATTTTTTACCTTTTTACTTCGTCGACCTCACTCTCTCGCCTGTTTCCATCCTGATCCAATGACAGGACAATGTAGTGACGACTGGAAATGATCTAGGTGCCGCGGATGACCAAGGCGTCTAAAGTGCCCTGCACTGCTCGACAGAGCCAAGCTCCACAGAGCTTGCTTGTAATCGCCTTCTTGTCCGTTGAACCATAAGAGGTTTCATACGCTACAATCCGCCGAGTCCAGTCTTTGCTGAACAGCCCTGACAAATGCCATGTTTGTCTGCGCTGAGATGTGTGGCAGTGACAAACTGGTAGCCGGGACAGCTGTTTGGGAACCACTGCTCTACGTAATTATGAACATCCGGGCGTTATCGGCGCTTCCAAAACATGGATGCCTAGCAGAAGCTCTTCCTGGAAGCTGACGAGTAGCATGCAAAGAAAGTATTCCGTTATTTTTCGCCGATAGTGAATCGCGTTTTAACATCTACTAACGATTTACCTTAAGAAGTTAATGCCACTTAGGATGTCATTAGAATGACCACTTTCTGGAGTTATGTAATTCTTACATTAGAAGCCGTTTATACCGAATGAATTCAACAAATGTCGCCGAGCTTTAAAAAAAGGTAGTGTTGTGGTTTATTTTTAAGGAATGTAACTTCAGCTGTGTTTTAGTACACTTATTGCTTTCGTATTGCGGTGGTGACGAAATTACAAGTACTTCACTTGTATACATTTAAAGAAGCAACTCTGAAGGACTGTGTAATAATTGCGAAAATAATAGTGGAGAAGGACAATTTCTTTCTTTCCTGGGAGTAACACATAATTGACCTGAGCAAAGATGAGTTCTCAGTCGTCAGGACGCCGCCGCAGCAACATGTCGAACAATGTTCGACAATATTCAGCGGAAGACCAGGCCTTAAATATGATTTCAAAAGAAGTAAGTCTGTAGAGATGATTACCTTAAAGAGTAGTGGGCAGTGCTTTGCTTTGCATGTTAAACTAAGTCAAGTCTTTAGGGAGCCTAGTCACTAGTGGGTGTTTTTTTAGTCGTCATTGGACTTGGAGTAAATCAACTAAATCCACTACATATGTGTTGTGAATGTAAAGTTTTCTACCTCACTGATACAGTCTTAAGCTAAAAGATCTTATCGTGGTTAAACACTTTTTTGGATGCATTTTAAAATAACTACAAAGACCAAACCAGATGGTTGACTTTTTGTGATTTGTACTTGCTCTAATGGTGTTTGCTCTTGCCATAAATAGGTTATACATTTCCCCATGTACTTTAAGTTATTTTTAGCTTTGGGATTAGCACTTTTTTTATAGTGTCATAGTCTGAAAAACCTGTTACTACAAGAAAAGAATAACGTTTCAGCTATATTAATTTTATAGGAAGGTTATGCTATGCCAGTATCCCATCTTCCCTCCCCCTGTTTTCACCTCCAGAAATGAATCCACAATAGTTTTAGTATATAATTTTTATATGACTAGTGTGAATCTGGGGTTCTTAACTCTTTCTTCTGCTACCTGACTTCTGATCAGTATGGTGGATATGCAAACTTACTGTATTTAGTCACGGCAAGTTTCTACTTCTGACAGTAGTTATCCATTGCATTTTTCTTCATATGTAGACTGAAAGGTATAGTTCCCTCGCCCAGCTACTGAGTTGCATGCATGGTGAGACACAGTGATCTGTTCATTTCATTTGAATGCCTTTCCACTGCCTATTTATGTTGTGAACTGCAGGTTGATCTTATGCATCTGTCTTTATGTTCTCCACATTTTATTAACTTCTGCCTCTATTTGTCTTCTCTCTATGCTTTTTTAGTGGTAGCCATCATGTTGTAGCTGCTAGACACTTATCTGCGGATCGGAAGGTCATGGGTTCAGGTCCTGACAGACCAGACCTTTTTTTTCAGAAATGACCTCGGCTGCCAGGTCGACTCAGCTTTTATTGGGTACCAGGTATAGTCCAGGTTATCATTTTCTTGCTATTTTAACCCTTTGAATATGAAGGAACGCATCATACGTTCACAGGTTCCTACCTAGAAGCCTAGTTAACGTATGATACCCCGATTTTATGTCTTTCTTTCCTACCCCTTGGGCCTGTGATGCTAAACCCACTGGGACTCAAAAGAGTTCAACACTTTCAGTTTAAGGTAACACTTAGTGTAGGATCAGCTATTCTTTACATGTACCAGTCAAGGCATTATGTGTTATTGTCCTTTTCACATTTGATCTGTGCATGCTTGGAAAATTGGCTGTTTAATTTATAATACAACATGTAGAAACCACATGTATATGTTGCTTCTGTCAATATAATGGCTCACTGGTTTTCATTTTAGTTATTACTTCTCTTGGAAATCTGCTGCAAAATCTTCTGGTACTTAAAGAGATAACATAATTGCCACAGAAATTTGGCAACTTCTGGAAAGAAAAAATGGTGGGGAAATGAAGCTATTTATCTCAATATGCATTGATGTATAAATATTAAAAGACCTAACGTTTCAGACATAGTATTTAGCATGATATTAACATTAGCATTGATAAGAACAAAAACTGTACATGTTAACTCGTCAAGCAAAGGAAGCTGTTTTTCTGATATTTTCGAGTTTTTGCTGACATGAAGTCTTTGAACTGTGGCCACTGTGCCTATATAACAGCTGTGGTGCTGGCTGTCACTGCTGAGTGTGTAGACGTGGAGGGTATGACTGTATATCCCCCCACCCCTCCACACAATTTTTGTTTATATTAAAATTATAAACAATCTTTTAAAATTGTGAAACCGTCAGTGACATCATCATAATCACAAATGTTGTCACTTTGCTTCCCGTAGCAAAAATCAACAAAACCACGTTTATCATGATCAAAGGGAACTAAAATAATTAATTTTTTGCTCCATTTGTAGTTAGTTATTATTTCCATGAAAATTTTATGCAGGAAGTTTAGAACAAAGAGTAAGACATAAAGAGGAACTTTCACTAAAAAATTCGCAGTTTGGCTTCAGAAAAGAACAAGGATGCACTAGTGCTGTTTTTTTTACATTTAAATGAGTGAGAAAACTGTAAAGTATAGAAAACTAACTGAATATGGCTTTCATTATCAGGAAAAAGCCTTCGATCGAGTTTATCAAGACAAGATATGTTTAGTGCTCAAAGAGTATGGTGTAAATGGACATTGCTGGACAATTTCAGAGCTGACTATCATGTCCTATTTAAAAAGAAGAGGATAACCTTCAACACCACATTAACAGCCCCAGCACCTATTGCAAAAAATATAAAATTAAAATAAAATAGTTTTAAAAAAACCCTATATAATGACAGTAAATAGAACACCAGTTCAGCCTATCATCACCGTTGAAGGAGTTAACTCTTTCAGGCCCATGAATTTTGACAGACTTGGCCCAAATTAATTTCCCTTTACAAAAATGGCAGAGGGGTGGGTGCACAAGAAAGGCTAAAGAGATTGTAAAATACTTCTAATCCCTATAAAAGTATATATTTTTTAAAAGAGAAATGAATGTACATTTTGAATCTGATGATAAGTATTGGTTTCATTTTGTTATAGTTAGTGGGAAAGAAGAATTCAGCAGGTGTTAATTTCACAAGGACAACATTTCACAAAAAAATTCTTCACTATCCATGGTTTTGCAGCCACAAGAGTAGTAAATATCCAAATTTGAGAACAAAACTTCAAAGTTTGTTCAATTTTCTAACATATTCCAAAGTTATAATAACTTTCTCGGTTAGTTTAGCACTCAGGAGCACTTAGTTCTCACAGAGTGCTGAGCAAGATTTCAGAGAAAAAATGGCAGAAAAATAAGCCAATACACACACACCATTTACTTTGTACAGTTATTTACAGACTGTAGCTGCGATGTTCTCAGTGTAGCTTAGAGATAGTATAGTACTGTCTCTTTGTTTAGAGCACTTTCCTTCTCTTACACCATAAATACGGTCTAATTGGACATTGTCTGTGTAATAAACTCATCAGAATCGCTAGATTCTGAACAGCTGATCGCTCAGCTTCACTGGTGAAAATTCACCGTCTGAATCACTTTCCGAAAAATCTAAATTTTTATTATCATTATCACAATTAAGAACATCTGACTAAAACAATTTCAGAGCTTGGGCCGCAGAAAGACGCATTCTGCGACCTGTACTTGTAGTTGGAACATTGGTATTCATGGCACTCCAAAAAAAAACTTAGAAAATGAACTGCAAAAAAAAAATTCACTGTTTTCTTTTTCTCAAATTATCCACGTGTGGTTTAGTCCAGGAAATGAAACTAAAAGGATTTCGACAGAGTGACTTTCCCTGAATAGTTTAATCGTACCTCCAAACATTAGAAACTAGTACGAAGCCGCATGCGAAGCAAAATGTAAGGGACACATGATTGACGATGACACCGTTGTTTGGGCAAAATGGAACTTCTCAAACAACGCTCACACCGTTTTTTGGGCCTCAAAGAGTTAAGGTGAGATGAGTTGATTCAAGAACCGACCTCACAGCACTCGGGGCATTCCCATAAGCGTTCCATTCCCATCTTCAGCAGCTAGTTCCAATACTAATGGTACCAGTAACATTCTGATTAAACGTCCATCTTGCCTTTCCTCTGAGCGTCAAGCATTGGCTAGAACCTCTCGTCACTACCCGCTGCATCAGTCTCACCAGACTGTGGTGATCCATTTAAATTAGAATTAAAACAAACTATGAAGTTTAAGTGTCTAGGCAGTATATTCACTAAGAATGGAGGATTGGGCCGAGAAATAGAAAACAGAATACAGAAGACCAGCAACATAAATTACCAAATAGCACCACTTTTGAGGCAACAGAATATCAACATGCACACACACAAAAATCAGTTGATAAATTCACCACTCATACCACTTTGTGCTGTCACTGTCAGACATGGATAGTCCCATAAAAAACATAACACAAACATTGGAGGGAGTTAAAAAGACATTACAGAAATGCAGAATGACATTAACGCAAGCTACGCAACTAGCAGAAGACAAGAAAGAGGATGAGTAGATGATTCAGGAGGCGATAATGAATCAGTAACAATAAAAAGACTACAAATATTTCAGGTCAAAAGAGGTATTGCCAGACATGAATATTATACAGGTAGCCAAAGGAGAATAGTAAACCAACACAGAAGTGGTGTTATCAGTTGCCAGACAAGATGGCAGCATTCATTCTTGTGTTTTCTAACCGCCACTAATTATACATAATGCGAATGGGATTTGTGCATTATTTATAATTATTGTGATGCAAAAGTAACACAGGAAGTCGATTTTTTCAAGATTTTCACTAATGCAATGGAGTTTTATGCATCTGAGTTGATACCATCTTGAAAATATGTTGGTAGAGCCATGGTAAGTTCAGGAGAAGCAGTAGACTGTGCAGACATTCTCAGTGCCCTGAAGGAGTCAAGACAAGAAGATGATTTGGGAGACAGTAAGAAGTTGGCAACACTCAAAAGACAACAAGAACTTCAGGTCAGAAGAGTTGTTGCCAAACATAAACACTGTACGTGTAGCCAAAGATGAATAGTAAACCAACACTGAACTGGTGTTATCAGTCGCCACATGCTGGGGGATATACAGAAGATGAGATACAAGCTCTTATGGACTTGTCCCATGTGCCGTGAGGAAAATCTGTCAGTTAACTAATTATCAGTCGCCACACACTGCGGAATATACTGAAGATGGGATCCGAGCGCATATGGACTTGTGTGACGAGGATAATCAGTTGACTAACTAACTGCTGTTCCAAAGGTCTTGAGGTCTTGACTTTGAATCTGCATCCTGGTAGATTTATTAAAAAATTGACTGTGGCTCCTCTGTCAGCCCAGCCTAAAATGGGCACGGGGTATTCATTTTAAGATGGTTCTTCTTTTTAAAAAAAATAATTTTTATTCTAATCCTAAAAACAATGAAAACAGTTTTTCTTTTACCACTTTTAGTTATTTTGGTAAGTAGAGGTGCTCATGTGATGATATTGAACATCACTCATAGAGGGCCAGTTAGTTTATAAAAATATGAATCTAGCATGGTATGCCTGATGCCCCACTGACATGTCAAGGATTAGAAAGCAATAACTTCTAATTATTAAATCTTTTAAGTTCATTTGTCAGATTCATTGATACCTTGTATTATATAATAAGCTGTATCCAGTGGACAATAAATAGTACTCCTTGGTTGCAATACCGGAGGGGAAAATATAAAAGCACAGTAGCCAGACATTTGCATGTCGCCCAAAAAATCTTCGGTTCAAAACCAAACCAATTCTGATTATAATTTACCTTGGCCCTTCAAGCTGATCCACCTAAGAATTCCTGAGAAATTAGACTAAAAAGCTTAACAAAATGGGGAAGCAGAAAAACGTGCACAAAAAAACGTGTTGTTTTGTGCAGGTTTTCCTGCTTTCCCATTTTGTTGAGCTTTTTAGTCTTTCTCTTGAATTCTTGTGTATAAGCTTGACCGCAGTCACCCCCATATTTTCACTATTTTTTAATCCACCTAAAAGGGGTGTCAGGAAATATCATGGAAAATAAAGTGTTACCGGAGTGATATTGATCACATGGCCTATAGTATGCTGTTTATTAGCCAACCTTCCTTGATGTTCAGATCTTTCAAGATGTCAGTATTTCTTCACTTCTTTGTCCAAGATATTCTGAGAATCTTTCTTTAGCATTTCAGCTCGCCCCCCCTATTCTCTTTCTTAAGGACTTGGAGATAGTCCACGACTCACATCCATATTTTGCTACAGGGAAGATGCATGCTCTCAAAATTCGGATTTTGATATCCTTGCTGGTGCTTAACCACAGACTTTTAAAGCTGTTTAATCTTTGCATTGCTATGGCCATCCTCCTTTTAGGCCCATAGACTAAAAACATTTATTTCTGCCTGTTCTTGAGGCTGTTGTTACTTCAATGCTAGCACAACAAAGGCAGTGATTATAAAATATTGGAGAATGAAAGGCCTTATTCATATGTTTGAAGATTATTATGTATCAGTAATTGACATCATATGTTAATGGAATTTTGCAGGCTGAAGCTAGGCTAGCTGCTAAAAGGGCTGCTAGAGCTGAAGCAAGAGAAATACGTTTGAAAGAAATGGAGAAACAACAAAAGGAGGTAAGACACTAAACTAAAAAAAAATTATTTAAAAGTCTTTTGCTTTAAGATTATAATTGTCTTTGAAAATTGTTGCAGTTTATTCCAGCTTTCTGACATTTATCAATTCTGTGAAGTGTTTCTTTGAATTACATAATAGTAGCTCCCATGTTAGATACTGTCTCTGCCATTGCCAGTCTGCAACCTATGAGCAACAAATGTTGATTGGGGTGACAAGAAGTGCTGGGTTGGATTCGATTCATGATATTGAAAGGATTGCAAGCTATATCAACAGGTTCATGTTCCTCCAATTACAGAGCAGAAGCAGATGCACTTCTGGAGGCATGTTCTTTCCTGAATGGACAACAGCACAGCAAATATAGCAGAGTGGTCTTTCTGACTGATGCTATGTCAGTTCTACATGCAGTTGTTAACCCAAAAGACACTCACTTTGTAGACTTGATGCAACAGCTGATTCACTTAGGTTCTTCAGTAGAACAATCTGTAATGCAATGGATTCTAGGTTACTGTGGCTTGCAAGGCAATGAAAAATCAGATAGGTTGGCTAGAAGCAGCAGTAACATGGTACAGCCATACAGTTACTTAACCAACCAAGAGACTAAGACATTAATACTACCTACCTAGCATCCAAGAAAGGTGGCAGGATACATACACCAAATTCTCTCCTCAGGAGTCACTTCATTGCCTCTCTAGAGATGCACAGTGTATTATATTCAGACTAAGGACAGAGCACCACAGCCTTCGTCAACATATGTTCAAACTTTTCGGTGTAGGAAACATGGAGACATGACCCTGCAACTTGGCACCCGAAAGTGTTGAGCATGTGCTCCAACACTGTCAACTGTATGCTGACAACAGAGGCACAATCTGGCCTGTTCCAACCTCAATGAAGACAAAACTGTATGGTACACAAGAAGTTATAAACTGCACAATAGCTTTCATAAAGGCTACTAGCCTAATATAAGTTTTCTGACAGACGGATCGAAGAAGAAGACAGCTGATGTGAGTTCTGAGGAAATTGCAAATAAAACAGGCAGATAATAATGAGATTATCCTTCAAGAAACATTTGAAAAGTGTAAACTTATCTGAGAAATTAGACATAGTCAAGAAGTTTTGGGCATGTTATGAGAAGACAGTTATTGAAAACTTGATGACAGCTGATATACTTGACAAGAGGTCGCGCAAAGATATGGTTTGATGTGTTTAAGACATCCTCACAGAATGAAAATAGCCAGTGCTACTCTTTAATAAAGGATTACAAACTGTTCATTTCCTCGATGTTTAATGGCAAAAATGGAAATTGTTGTTGATGAGGATATACTTGGCTACAGGAGAGTAAGAAGAAATCAAAGAAATAATGTCTGTATGGTTTGGCCACTTGGCATCAGTAAGACAGTAATAAAACACTGATGCAAGTCTCTCTGGTACCTGTGCTTAGTCTTTGGGATGCTAGTGAAGTTTTATATTTTGGATTTTTACTTACGAAATCATGACAGCTAGATGAAGATTAAAATTACAAATCCAGTGTTACCCTATTTAAGCCTGTAAGTCGATTCTAAACAGAGATATTAACATTTTAGTGGCGGATACCACCACAGAAAAATTATAGTGGAAATGCACAAAACATGGATTCCCAGCTGCGACCCAGTAAGATGAAATGACTCAATGTTTGCATTTTACGGCCATAACTTTTTTGTTTCTGAACGAATCCCTTAGCAACCATATAATGCTGGAATTGGGACAGTGAGACCTAACTGTTTATGCATGTCTCAAATACATGCACTACAAAATGCGCCTATTTAACATATGAAAATGTCCGCAGGCTGATTATTTTTCATCAAAAACCTTATACATTTACAGTTGTCTGCCAACGAGCCTGGCTTAATACAAATCATATTGTGTGTCCTGGCAAGGCGAACATAAAGATCATATAAATGTGCCAATGTCAGTTGACGTGACCTAATTAACAAATACCGGATGTTACCCGGAGTGGTCATATCTCCGCACAGTAATGACACCCGGGGTGATTGCACGCACTCCCTTCCTGCTATCTTCTTTCCCTGGTATCTCTCCTCTTTTTCTTTCTTTCTTTTTCCTTTCCTTTCTTTTTTCCCATGTCTCAGTGCCAACTTTCTTTTCTTAGTCTCTTTTTTTTTTTCCCTCTCTCCTCCTCCCCCTCTTTTTCAACTTTCTCACAATCTTCTACTCCCCTCTCCCCCAACTCTCCGTTCTGTATGGTAGAAGAAAACATGAACCCACTGGTAGTACACGGCCTGTTTTCATAATGGGTCAGTGACAGTGTTAACAACAGGGCAAACACAACAGGTGTGTTCATTTCTGAGAATCAGGTCAGGCCAGATTTTTTTTTTTCAAAAATGACTTTGGCTCCTATGTTCACCTAGCATTGCATGTAAGAAATGGATCTATAGCAGCCACACGCGGACAGCCAAGCATGGGAGGGTTGCCGATGGGATTTTTGTCAAACCCGAAGCTAAGCTGACCAAAAACCCAAGCAATATATAAGCAAAAAAAAAAAATTTTTTTTGATAAATAGTACATATTTTATAGTTAATTTTACAGTTACGAAATGAAACATTTACCCACTTTTATATAAGGATATGTATATTAAAAAAAAAAGATATCAAAATCTTAACCCAAGGTGTTGTATAAAAACCCATTTCTTGGGGGAAAGCCCAAGTACTGGCAGGCCTGATGGACGGGAACTCGGTCAGCGCTGCTGTTGTTTCTCAACCACTTAGATTTAACAATTCCGACAGAAAATTCTGTGGATTCTAAATAATAAGAGGCGCGTAAAAAAAATTCTACAAGAGTTGTAGATGTTTAAAAAGTAGCTCACTTAACATTATTAATTTACTAAGTATCTGAAGTTAATTACTAAAGAATCATCTTAGAAAATGCGCAATGATGGCCAAAATTAATTATTGGGATTTGGGGGTGATCAGGAAAAAATATCTCCAACAGAAAATACGCAAAGCTCTAAATAATGACAGATGCATGAAAAAATGACTGTGCTTATTGTCAGTGATTATGATAAGTTACTTGGAATGTTTCTCATTCTTCTGTACTTTTTATAGACAGTTTACAAGGGAAAACATAGTTTGTCTTTAAGTACTCTTATTATCTTTAAAAACGTTTATAGACGAAAGAGAAGGCTGTGGACAGATAAAAAGAATAATGAAATGACTTGAATTAATTTAAAAAAAAATATAACTGATTACCTATGTCAGATGGAGACAGCCTACAATTGTTTAGTCACATAATGGGAAGGAGGAAACTGGGAGTATATTCTAACAGCAGGAAAGTTGGAAGGGAAGAGAAGCAGAGGGAAACCAAGAGAGACGATGCTAGACAGTTTGGCTTTATGGCATGAAGGATCACGAGTGTCAGAAAAAAGTGAAAATACACAAGAAAGAAGGATCAGACATGACTAGCAATGCCAAACATCATGGACTGTAAGAATACGAAGTGTTATAAATATCTCTAAACAAAAAAAAGTCAACTCACTAAGCAAAACAAATCTTGATTATAATGAAGGCTTACTAATAAGAGATCAAAATGCCCCCACCTCCTTTAAAAAAAAAAATGAAATAAAAAATTTTTTGTCCTTGACAGTCATCATCCCCGTCTCTCCCCCCCCCCCCCCACGTCACTTGGTGCTGTCATCCTCGTGTTGTGCTACTGTGAATTCCAGAGAAATTTGACTAAAAAAGCTCAACTAAGTGGGGAAGCAGAAAAACATGCACAAAACAATACAACCTAACGTTTCGGCCGGGCAGCCTTTTTCAAACATAAGTGAACTACACAAACGTAACAATGAGGAGAGGAGAGTATGTAGATCTCTAAGGGGTGACGTGAGCAACGTTTACAAAAATGTGATGTGGAATAAATAAAATAAAATAAAATAAACGATGGCTAAAAAAATATAGTAAAAAAAACAAAACAGTAGTATTGTTCATATGTAATATAATACTGGGATTAAAAGAAATACAAATGTTAATGATACATAAATGATACTGATAAGAAATAGAATAAAGTAGTAAAATGAAATAAAATAAAAGAAAAGAATTAACATTTAAAATGTGATAAGAGAAGAACTATTTAGATGAAGGTATGTTGGATATTGATACCACCTGGACTAGGCTGTGGATGAGGCGATTTTCCAAAGCGAGGCATGTAGTATGATCGCCAGAGCAAGATTTTAATGCTGTGACAGATATATTATCTTTACCTCTGTGGTCAGAGCTATTAAAATGGAAAGGGATTGGTTTAAGTGTCTTCTTGTCAATATTGGAGAGGTGTTCCCGGAAACGATCTAGAATTCCTTGTATTAGCTTGACTGCAGTCACCCCAATATTTTCACCATTTTTGTACTATTGTGGTACGTCTTGCCATGTGGTAAATACTGGCATATATGGAACAGTAGCAGCAGTCAAGAGTTATATAAGTATAATATATGAACAAGTTGCCAGTTTGCATCACCTGTGGACCAGGACAGTATATAATTGCATACTCAGAATTATGGATTCACAACACACCAAACCAGACATGTGCCATCATCTGCTTTAACACATATGCTGGTTTAAATGATCATTGATACTCCTTTTCTGTTGTTTTTGTTTGTTTGTTTGTCTCAGTGTCAGAAGATGTATAGATTTCTGGCATGAGTTCAGGTATGTGCCTCACACCTGATGGTGTTTGCTACCTCAGTTATGCCGTATATTCTGCTCTAACCTAGTTCAGCTTTTTTTTCTTCGTCTTAGTAATATGAGCTTTCTTTTGTCAGCTTTTTCATAATGCAGGGTCAGAATAATTTCTTTACTACTTTTTTGTTAGCTATTTAATCAAGGTTCCAACATCACTGCAGACAGATCGGCCCATAACTGTGCCGTTCCTGTGCCAGTGGAAATCACACAAAATGTCCTGTTTAAAAACTGGTAAAAAACTCATACAGTAGAACCTCGCTTAACGAGCACCTCGCATAACGAGTAATTCGCATAACGAGCAAAACAAATTGAAAAAAAAAATGACGCTTAACGAGTGACGTTTCGCATAACTTGTGGCAAGGAGAGGGAAAGTCCCCAATTGTGCGCATGTTACATCAGTCTGTGTTTAGCACTCTTTCCAGAAGCATCGTCGTGTCGCTTGTGATCACACATTTTCTCAAATTGTGATATATGTACATGAATCCTCCAGGCCTACAAGATGACCTCTCTGAAGAATTTAAGTTCATTAAGATCCAGTTTCTGCCTCCCAACACCACTCCGTTACTCCAGCCCATGGACCAGCAAGTTATTTATAGCTTTAAGAAGCTCTACACTAAAGTACTCTTCGAGCATTGTTTTCAGGTGACTAAAGGGACCAACCTTGCTCTCAAAGAGTTTTGGAGAAAAAAAATCACTCCCACATCGTTGCCTGCATCAAGATGATCGACAAGGCGGTAGAAGGGGTTACCAAGAGAACCCTAACTTCTGCTTGGAAGAAGCTTTGGCCTGAGAGCATTGTCTATTTGTGACTTTGAGGGGTTCGAGACAGTACCTGTGAAACCTGTAGTCAATGAGATTGTGTCTTTGGCCACTATCATGGGATTGTAGGTGGATAACAGTGATATCAAAGAGCTTGTGGAAGAGCACAGCCTAGAGCTGCGTTTTGGAGGAAAGTTTGTCAGAGGAGGAGGAGGAGGTATCAGAAAAGCAACAATTTTCTGGCGAAATAAGAGAAATGCTGAAAGCATGGCAAACTGTTGCATCTTACATTGAGAAGCATCGCCCTAATAAGTGGCTATGTGCGTTGCAAATTTATTTAATGATAATGCTGTGTCGCATTTTCGCCAAATTTTAAGCGTCAGCAAAAACAAATCTCTGGACATCTTTCTAGTAAAAAATAATAATAATAATAAGCTAGGTATCATAATTATTTCGACTTTTTCTTTCTGCAAATCGAATTCACATTCCATGTGGGTTCGTTACGCGTTTGAAGAAAAGATGAAGATGATCCACTCTCCTTAACAATATGTATATAATTTTCTTTGAAAAACGTTATACATAGCATTTTGTGAGAATCTTTTTCGACATGGAACGCATTATTGTATTTTACATTAATTTACTCGCATAACGAGTGTTTCGCTTAACGAGTATGATTCTGGAACGCATTATGCTCGTTAAGCGAGGTTCCACTGTAATTCCTTCAAAATCTTTAACTTTGCTCACATAAAGTAAACATTGCTTAATGCAGCTGTCAGATGTGCCAACACAAATGTCCCAAACCAGAATTCTAGCTCATGGTTGGTACACTTGGTCAATCCTGAAAGTCAGCATAGCACCCGCAAACATATACCCTATTCTCAATAAAATCGACCACTGGCCATATAAGGGCAGCTAAAGTAAACATTGCTTATTGCAGCTGTCAGATGTGCCAACACAAATGTCCCAAACCAGAATTCTAGCTCATTGTTGGTACACTTGGTCAATCCTGAAAGTCAGCCTAGCATGCGCAAACATATACCCTATTCTGAATGAAATCGATGAAATCGCCTACTGGCCATATAAGTGCATGCTTTTCTGATAATGCATAGCATTGGTGTTACACCAACTTGGTTTCTTATTTGATTATTTCAGATAGGTACAGGATCATTTGACACTCTTTGAGGCATATTTAGTGTATGTTCTCTATTTTTCTATAGTCTTATTTAAACTAATGAGTGTTGTGGTATCTATTGTGCTGGCCGCTTTTACTTCTAGCATCATTTTTCTTTTTAACCATTTTAGGTTGAACCAGCTGGAACTCATCTTAAAATCTTAAACTGGTTTCTTTGTAACATGAAAATAGAATGCATGCAGTTTTTTGTATTCTAATTGAAATATTTAAGTATGTTTACATTGTTTTTTTTTCAGACTGAAGCAAAACAAGATAGAATTTACGAACTTACAAATGAACATGCAACCCTCAAGGTAAGCCCCCGCCCCCCGAATAAGTGTTTTTGTTACTGAATATTTATTTATATCCACACACTTTTTTTAGATTTAGATTTTTGTTTTGCAATCTTTACACGCAGAATTCCTGGCTCTTAAATGCCTAGTGGTTGTGATGACTTCAGAGTCTTAATTGTATGCAAGGCAGAGAGCTAAATCTTTTTCCTCAAGATATTGAAATTATTTACAGTAAGTCAAACACATGAAGCCACTCTAGGATCAGGGAAGCAGACCAGAAGTATCCTAGTTATACCTGGCAAGACTGATTCAGCATGGTGGGAACATAGGGTCTGGAAGACTGAGTGGTCATGGGAAAAAAGTCTTCAACATTCCAAGCCCTTGATGTTCATTGCTGCAGATATCATCTGCCTCCATTTATCTCTTTGATTGGCTTTCACTTTCCATTTGGCAACTCCAAGTGTTTGTATGTCTGCATGTATATTATCTCCACCATCTTCTTGGTCTGCTCCATCCTTTTTTGTGTACACAGTTTTTGTCTCTATTATTTGCATTCTCTCTCTCAATATGCCTCAACCATAGCAGTCTAGTGGCCCTCATGATGCTAGTAATTAGTAGTGGATTTAAAAATGTGGTTATTAAATTCATTGTTGCTTCTCATTCTCCTTTCTTCACTATTTGCATCCTTGATGGGTCCAGAAATTTGTCTTAAGACTCTCCTCTCAGAAGTTTGAAATAAAACTTTGTTTTTTTTTAAAATGGGGCACAGAAGGCACATATAATCAGTTCCCACTGACACCATCAGTATGGGAACAATGTTGGCTGCTGAAGAAGGAGATGGAACATGTATGGAAATGTAGGGAGTGCACTGGTGTTGATTCTTGAATTATTCTTTCATTCATTAAAACTCATAAAACAAAGGGAGCAGATAATGGGTTGTCAGATGTAAAGAAGAATTGTCATATTTTGCAAGAGGCCCATCGCAGCAAGCTATAGAGAGGGGATGTCTAAAAGAAAACCGGCCTCAGTACAATGGAGTGTCAACATTTTTATGGGGACTACATGGCAGAGATTGCCGCTGCTGCATTGAACTTTATAGTCACAGAAGACCCTGTTCCCAAAATCAGCGGCATTTAACTGGTTTTTCGTCCGTGAGTAATGGACTTGGAAGTCCAGTAAACTGGCGATTCGTCCTTAAAGAGTTAATGTTATCTTTCCATTTTTATCGCTGTGTACCATTTGCACATTTGCCATCAACTATTCCATCTAGTACATTTTTACAGATGTGAGTCATGGATGATCTTGCAATTGTGACGGAAGAAAATAGGGACTTTTGAGCTGAAATGCTTTAGAAGGATTCTCAGAATATCGTGGACCACAAAGAAAAGAAAAATTGGCACCCTAAAAGATCTTAACATCAAGGAAAATTGGTTCATAAACATCATCTTGTCTCAAAAACTGAAATATTTTGGATATATCTACACCACCACGGTAGTTTAGAAAGAACAGTAACAGAAGACATGGTACTGGAAAAAAAAAGAGCAAAAGCCGACCGTTATGAAGATGGGCAGCAGACAAGAGACCCAGTTTTATGTGCGTGCAGATGGGCTGTGATAAGTGCAACATTCTTTAAAGGACCTGCTACACGAAATGTTTTTAAAAATAAAAGTGTAAAGCTTTTAATGGGACAGGAATATTTATTGTCTTATTTTATTTATTTCATCTACTCTCTTTTCATCTGTTTCTGTATGCCCAAATGTCTGTTTTATTATTACAGGTTCGACAACAGTTATCCGGATCAAGAGCTGGTTCACGGCGAGGAAGCACTGAATCTAATGACTCTGATGCCAAGGAAACGGATTTCAAGGTAAACCATTTGTTTTATGCAGGGATCAAGTAAATTTAACCAAACAGGTTAAATTTGGCTTCTAACTGGTTGTCTAATTTGGTCTAACATCTCATAGAAGTAAGAAGTAAATGTTAGCAGAAAACTCTTTTGTCGTTGTTGTATTGATGAAGATTTTGCAGTTTATATAGACTTCTGTTCTGTATCATGTTATTTATTTTGTATTTATAGAAGAAATTATGGATTTGTAAATTACTTGAGTGCTTTATTAACTCTTTGGAGATGAAGCGGCCAAAATATTGGCCCAACACAAAGAAACCAAAAGGACGACTGGGCCGATCAGTTGGCCCTATATAATAAAAGCCTCGATACTGGCTGGCAGGTTTTCGTACCAGCCAATCAGACTTCTTTTCGCATTTCTTGCACATCTGGGCTGTTCATTGACGGCTTTCGAGAAAGTTTGATGTGTTCTGTAATTTTACATTGATTTTTTTTCTCTGGGGTTACCTGTGCCCAAAAATGGCAAAAAGGACTGTTGCGTCATAGCAACTGAAACATAGCTGGAGGCAGGAAAATGAGTAGAACCATGTGCCAGACGTGTCTGAAGGGCCTCCAAGGGCCTTACTTCCCAAAATACAGGTGTTGAGACTTATTCAAGCTTTATCCATAAAAAAATTCACCCACATTTTTTCACATTTATTATGTTTTTAAAAAAAATTGCTTGGATAAATTATGCAAATCAGAATAGTTAACTTGAAAAAATTTTAAGATTTTAGTTTGATTCATAAATATTCTATTAGTTCATTCAATTTCCTACACGAATAAGTATAGTTTTGTATATTAAACGCTTTATTTTTTGTAATGTTTTGTGTATAAACTATGAGAATTCTCTCCTGAAGGCTCTGTCTTCTTGGCACAGAATCTTCAAAAAGGCTCCATCTCCAAAGGGTTAAGAAATATTACCAATAGGTGGTTATTTCATTAATGGTTTGGATTGTGAGATTGCTGAATCCAAATCAGTCACTAATTAATTTTCTTTCTGTATGTTCATATTCTGAATATGTAGTTTGCATTGTTCTTGAACATAAATCACAACTGCACATTAGTTATTGAGCACTGGTTTTGATGTTTATCTCTTATTAATCTTCTTTTTATTAAAATTTCACAGTTGTTTTTATTTATCTTTTTCTTTTATTTGTTAGAAATGGTACTACAGCAAAAGCCACATTGTAAAAGCACTTTTGTTTAGCATTCTTTCATTTACTTTGAAATAGTATCTAACATTTTGTATTGTAACTTTTCTTTCTGACCTGTAACATTCTTGAATAACAGAATAATAATTTCATGAAATTGAGGTCATAGACTTTTTAACATATTAGCATAGACTAATATATAACTGCAGTCCTTTACAAGATTACTGTTATATTCAAAGTGCTAGAAAGGGAAGGCTAAATCATGTCCCTCATAGCTTCTTTTATCTCCTGTTTCTCCTCCTCCATCTTCTCTGTTGTGGTTCTTTGTTTCTGCTTGTGTCTTTTATTCCTCAGTACAAAACAGAACCTCAGGCTTCTCATTTTATACCTTTGTATTCCGATTGTACGTTCCGGGACCCCATTTTGAAGAAAAATTATACCCACTGCTTTAGTAACAAGCATGTCATAAGAGTCTACCAATTAGGGCTTTCCTTTGAAGTCGGAGTCCATCTGTTTAAGAAGCAAGCAACCAACAGTCTGCATCAAGAGAAACTAGATTTGTAAAACAGATGTGCATTCAAAACTTCAGTTCTGGAACAAGATTGAATTCCAAAAGTGGACAAACAACCAGAACCTTTTGCTGGAGTTTACAGCCAGGAAATGCAAAGAAGAAGCAGAAGAAGAAACCTTTTTATCTTTTGTCTTGTAGTTCCTTTATTAACTCTTTCAGAAGCAAGAAGCTCACCATAAGTTCACTACTCCTACTGCATTCTTCTTATGTTAATCTCTTATTTTCCAGTTATTACCATAACCCCTTCTCTCTCAAAGCTGTGTTTGTCAGCTCTTTGAGACTAGAACATTGTTGCTCTAGGATACAACTATAGCATAGTTACTTTTCATACCTGCACTGAAAGAGTTAATGGCAGACATCAGGCAGGATCTATGGAATTTGTGGAGGTTATTGTAAAGAAGTTTTCTTCTTTAACCTTTAAAGAAGAAAATAATGCCACAGTGTGGTTTCTAAGCAAGCAAGAAAGCTTGAAACGTGTAAATTTATAGAACTCTGGGGAAATGTCATAACGTCTGATGGCAAATGGCGTGTTTATGGTACTCTTTTTCTTGCTCCTTCTTCTTTTTCTTAGGGTTCATTGTTCGCCAGCTGTAAAGTCCAGATCAGAAAGTTCTGGTTGTTTGTCCATTATTGGACTTTAATCTTTTTCCAGACCATTAGGTTTGCCTGCACATCCATTTTTCAAGTCTGGTTTATTTGAATTGCGGTCTTTTGTTTCCTTGTCTTTCAGGTAGATGCACCTTGACCTCGAAGTAAAACCTCTAATTGGTCGCCTTTTATAACATGCTTGCTGGAAGAAAAGAGGGGGGGGGGCAGTGGGTCTGTTCTGTGTTTACCCACAATGGGGCTCCAAAACTTACAGAGGAGAGGACCTGAGTGTTGTTGTGCACTTCCATGTTACTAATCTGGCTTAATATATGCAGACTGTTGGTTCTGTGTATCACAGATGCACTCTGATTTCAAAAACACCCAAAATTAGTCACGTTTCAAGACATGCCTGTTGGTCGGGTGGAGTGGTTCTGTTCTTTTCCCGCCAAAATAGGGCCCCGGAACCCGCATAGAAAAAAAAAAACAAAAAGATAAATAATTTTGATGACTTGATCATGTGGCATAAGTGGAACAATAGCATATACATGGCTATGGATGATGATTAATTCGAGATGGCAAAACATGTCTGCCTCTGTTTATCGGCAAGGCACATAATGATGATAATGTAGTCCTTTCCATTATTGTTCACATCTGTCTCTAATTCTCTTCTTCACATATTCCTAGATCTCCACATATAAATTTTCCCTTGTGGGTTCCTCAGAAAGGGTTTTCTATTTATGTTGTGGCAGGTTTTCTTGTTGTTCTTCTTTCTTAAAACCCATCCTTTTGTTACTCTTTGATTCACTAGAATTTGTGTTAAAGTTTTCTCCATGAACATTAAAGGTTCTGTCATATTGTTTTAGTCCTGTTCTGCCCACACGCCAATTACTAAATTTGTCTAGTTGAAAAAAAACATTGTTCATCATGGTTGCAAAATGTACAGCCCTAATAATTTTAAATTGGGTTAAATGTTTGAAGTTAGTCACTTCTCAGTTATTGAAAGGTTAAACATTTTTTTCATGTTATTAAAAAAAAAAAAAATCAACCAGACAGATAGATTCATCTGCTTTTGTTTTGTTCATCAACATTAACAGAAAAGAGCTCTTAAGATGGTGAGTAGTTGATACCTGAGGTGTTCAGAGATACATGCTTCAAGTTTTGAGGCAGCTTACTTACCGAGCATGGGATGTTCGATATTACAACACTGAACTGATCAGCCTGGCTGTCTGTTTGATGATTTCTTGCCTGCATGCATTTTTGTTTTCCACAATCACCATACCCTTATTTGTTGAAAATTTTGAAGGAAAAAAAAAACACCTACCTTTTTTCCCTCTTCTTCCTGGTCTTGCTCCCTTTAATTTGAAAATAAAAATATGTTTTGATGAAAAACAGAGAAACAATACATTATTAGCCCTAGTCTTACTTATTGTTCATTTCATTATATAAAAAATATATATAATAATAATTAGGAAGCTTGTTATAAATTTCTATCCTATATAAGTTATTGTCACCAACTTGCTTCTTGCAGCATACGTGCATTGTTAGTGGATATAATTAAATACTTATGTTAATTGATCATCAATTTAATGTCAGACTTTCACTAACCTTTACATCTAGCCAATGTTTTTTAAATTTTATTTTAGTATGTCATTGCCACATCTCATTAGGCATTTACAGCAGGGCTATTCAACTGAGTTTACTCAAAGGCCAACAATATGAAAATGCCGATCTTCATGGGCCAGGAAAAAGATCATTAATACAAAACAACTGGCAATGACCCGTGGGCCACTAGCTGGGCCAGAGGCTCGAACCCCAGCATCAAAAGATCATTAATACAATACAACTGGCAATGATCCGTGGGCCACTAGCTGGGCCAGAGGCCCGAATCCTAGCATTGAAAGATCATTAATACAGTACAACTGGCAATTATCCGTGGGCCACTAGCTGAGCCAGATTTGGCCCGTGGGCCACCAGTTGAATAGCCCTGGTTTACAGTAATGTTTTGGTACTGTGATGGACTTTTATAATTACTGAATCAAATACATCATAGTTACCTTTCTGTTTATAAACTTAGCAGACCGTTCTGAATGCAGTTATTTAGAACTTATTTAGTTCCACTAATGATGCTTTGTCTGAAGATGCATCTTTCATCTGGTGATTTATAGTTAATTCCCAGTAGTGGCACAACCAGAATAGTTATCTCTTTAAGAATAGCTCTAGAACAGGGCTACTCAACTAAGTTTACTCAGATGCAAAAATGTTAAAAATGGGGTATCATCACGGGTCAGAGTAAGATCATCAATACAATACAATTGGCAATGATTCATGTGCAGGCTGGATGGGGCCCATGGGTCACTAGTTGAATAGCCCTGCTCTAGAGTCTACCTAGCCTTGTACAATCAATAGCAGCATAAAAAAAATGGAGCAGCATCAGTGTCTGTGGCTTAGGCGTTGCGAACATGCTTCACAGTGCTGGGGTGCCGGGTTCGATCCCAGCTGCGGCCGATTTGTTGTGCATTGGTTTCGACAGTGTGGTACCGAGAGCTAACCATTCAGAAAACAATGGCAAACTACTGCACAACAACCAGAAAATGCTGGGATTGGAGCAGCAGATGAGATGGTTTGGCCAACTAAACGGAATGTCCTGGTACCAGCTGCCACAGAAAGCCATACAAAATATACTGAACACTGAAAAAAGGGAAGACCACGCAGTAGGTGGATCAACATAATCAAGAACAGCATTCAGGAAATGAAGACCAGCTTGTACAACACATTAGAAAGAGCACACTGAAGATCCTGACCTCTTTCCCCATCACCTCGATGAGGTAGATGGAGGAAGAGAAGATACAAAGTAATACATTCTTTTCCATGCCTAGGCATATTAATTAAGGATATTGTGTTAGACCATTTAACACTCAGATGAAAATAGCCAGTATCATGGCAACACCTGCACCTACAACATTTTCTGATACTCAAATTAGATTGAGTGGACCTTGGGCCCATCATGCCATTTTTTGTCAGATGGGGCTTGCAGTCTATTTCTCCATTCCGTTCTATCCTATACAATCACTTTAAAATTATTGATAGAATGCAGTCCTGCACCCTTAGCTTCTGTCATCAACCTTTGCTGTGATTCTCTGTTCGTCTCTTCTCAGTATATGTCCCATTTAGTGCCATCTGTTTTCTGCACATCTCTGTAGCAAATAGTGAAAAAAAAAAAACTTTTTTAAACAGGGTAAAGGAACTTCCACCCTCCCCCTCCACCACAAACACTCAACAATTCTCCTTTCTCCTCTGGGCTTGGGACTGGTTATGGCGGAGTCCGAGTCATTTAAAAAAAAAATCCCTGCCTAAATGTAGATTTCAACAACCAAACACAAAGCTTATAGGTATGGTGGTTAACCACGGCACTAGTCCAGCACTTAATATCCCTACAACGGAATCTACTGTGGTAATTACTCTTATATGCTCTTGTTCCTAGTGTGGGTTCGGATGCGTTATTGTTTGGGTTTGAAAAAAAAAAGAATAGGCCCACTGCCCCCTAACAAGCATGCCGAAAGTAGCGACTTATTGGGGTTTTGCAGTAAATTTAAAGGTTAAAGTTGAGAGGATCAGCTTTATTGCACCAGGCTTAATCCCATAAGGCTCAGTCTCTCTCAGCTGCCTGTGGAGAGCCACACACAAAACACCAGCACTGTAGCTCTGGTGATGATCTCCAGAGGTTCCCTGTAAAAATTGCATCCGTGAACCGAACAATGCAGTTGTGAAACAAACCCAGGATCTTCGAAGCATGAGGCAAAACAGTTTGACCACTTCACTTTGGAGAAATTATATGTATTGGGCCAAAAAGGGTATCTTATGCAGCCTAGCTGTAAGCCACAACACAGTGTGCCAATTGGCTTTTTAAAGGTTAAAATAGAAGAAAATTTCACTTAGATCTGGAAAAACACTGGGTGTTTCTAGTCAAATGCAATAGCTTGTTACAACGTTCTTTTTAAAATTATTTTAATTTTAAGCATCTTCACTTCGTTCTGAAAGGCGTATTGTGTCTTTATATTATCTTTTTTAAAATGGTCACCAAGTAGGGTCATGGGAGGTAAAGGCGGCTGGCGTGATGTTGACCACATCACCCATTGAGAGCCGAGAGTCTGGCATCATATGCCCGCTGTGCCACTGGCATGAAAAGGGATCTGTGCTTGTTTTTTTCTTTCTGGTGTAAACTTATAAACAAAGGTGCAACAGAATGTGACCAGCATTGCATAGTTAGTTTAATGAGTGATTAAGATATTGTCAAGGCTATTGGCACGCTGTGTTGTGTTTTACAGGAAGTCAGCGATGTGTGTGCCTTTCGACCCATCACATCCAATTTTAGCAAACCCCAAGATAGTCAAATTTTATGAATGCTTGTTGAAGGTGGGTGTTGCGAGGGGGTGGAGGGGTCTATTATTTTCCCCTTTAAAATAAGGCCCAGAAATCAAGCGGAGAGAATTTGGTATTTAAAATTATTTTTTAAGTACTTTGTTACTTTGTATGTCAGATTCTCTTTACCCTGATATTTCCTGTAAATGTGTATAATTGTTCTCAGCTAACTCATTCTCATCCCCAAGGCAATGTAGTAACATTCTTCATCATGAAGAAGTTTTGTTATGTGGACTCTTGGTTATATATAAACTAAAATACGTGGCCTTCGATTGGTGTTAACATTTACAGTGCTGTTGTCCGATGTTACTACGAAAGGGATTTATGTGTAAAATGAGTAGCATATTAAATGTATTTGTTAACTTTTGTTGCTGATGCTGCAAGATGGTTTGTTGATATAAAGCATAACACAGACATAGATTTTTTTTATGAACCATGGCATTTGCACACAGAAACTTAGAGAAAATGCACACTAGACATCATTTCTGCTTTAAGGAGGGAGAACTGTTAAAAAAAAAGATAGTAGTGCTTTTGCCTTGACTACAAGTCGGCTAACTTTGGAGCTGATGGTGGTAACAAAGGTAGTGACCTTGCACACAGATGTTTTCCTATGCATGCTTTCTGACTGGTTATATGAACATGCTTAAGAAGATCTAGACAGGATGGGCTTAAAGACAACAGTTGGAGTCTCTGAGGAAATCTCGTCATTTTTATGCCAGGACCCTCTGAGGTAAGAGGGAATGTACGAGTGGATTGGCTTGTTGGCAGGGCCGTGCTGGACACAGGAAAAGTGGTGAACCAAGTCATTGCTCTCAGGGCTCTCAAGAGATGATGATGAATCAGCAACCTTGACAAGACTACAAAACCTTCATTTCAAAAGAGGTATTTTCAGACAGGAGCACTACACAGGTAGCTGAAGAAGAATAGTAAACCAGCACAGAACTGGTGTCGTCAGTTCCCACACGCTGAGGGAGATTGTTTATGGAATATGCAGTGAGGGTGATCGATCGATTACCTGACTAACTAACTAACTACCTACTTTGATGTTCTAGATGTTATGATTTTTATTGTAGTCTTGGAGTCGACTGGGATGTGAAGACATTGTTTAGATAAGGTCAAAGTTGATAGATGATTTCTAATGGGAAATATTCAGATGACTAGTGGATGTGGGACTGTTTTGAGGAATGCCGCTTAGATTAGTATACATGAATCTGATAGAAGAGATAACATACTGTTTTGTGTACACCCCCCCCGCCCCCCCACCTTTCCACCCTCCTTCCTGAAGTTATTCTTGCATTTGTATTATTTTGGAACAGTAAATAGATCCCAGAAACAACTGGACATGTTGATTTACAGCTTATGGTTTAGAAAGAACTTTTTAAGGCAAGGATTGACTTCATTGCACCTGGTTTACCCTATAGAGCTCAGTCTCTCTTTGTAGTGATGGTTAGTTATCCACCTTCCTTCGAAGTCAGAGTGCATCTGCGTGAGAGGTGAAGAATCAAGTCTGCATACAAATGAACCAGGCATGTAAAATGGATGTGCACATAAAACAGGTTCTGGAACAAAACTATAGTCCAGAAGTGGACAAACAACCAGAAACATTAATCTCAGTCTGCATCTGGTGAACGTTAAGAAGAAGAAGCAGAGAGATTTTTCCTAGAGAGCATTGCAGAAAGAATAAAAAGATCATGATCTGATATAAGAGCAGGAGAAACAAACTTCAAAACCTAGTGACAACTGACAAACTTGATGACAAAAGAGCAAGGGAGGGACACATAGATAGAAACCAGGATGGCTTGACAACATGGCATCGGCTTGACAGGAAGCTAGACTATTTGTGATTCTGGTGATCGCGTGAGATGGTGAGTCATGCTTGCCTATGTATATCGACTTTGCACATGATGAAATATCTAAAGTCAGACTGGGACACATTCTGTAACACATCAGAGTATTGCAGAGATGTTACATCATTGCGGTCTTATGTTGAACACTTTTTAGAAACAAGATCAAGCCAAGATTGCTAGTAAAATCATAGTCAACATGTTGTGCCATGTAACCTACTTATTGCTGATGGTCAGTTTCTTGCATTCAACTCTATCCTATGCAAGGTTTTTGGTATGTGTAGAATCATTTTGATACCTTTGATGACTCTCATCAGCATTCATAATAGGGTTCCTCTTGGATGTTTCACTTATTTAGCCAATTTAATTCCTATTTCAGTGCCTGTTTGTGATTCTCGATCCTTTTCGTCTCAGAATGTGCCCTGTATAGGTTTCTATCTTTTTTTTCCCTTCCTATAATTAACCTTATACATCAGCAGTTGCCCAAACATGTCTCTGATTTCTTTGCCTTTCCATAATTTATTCCACTTATGTTCATGTTTCCTTAGGCATTTGTTTTTTTAAATTTCATTTCTTCTTCTTCTTTGTTTGTTTGTAAGTGGAAAGTCCTGGTTGTTCGTACATTTGGACTTCGGCTTTATGCCAGGGCCTGAGCTTTGCGTGTACATCTGTTTTACCGGCCTACTTGTGTGCGGTTGATTGTTCCATGCTGCTAGGACAGATGCACTCCAACTTCAAAGGAAGCTCCCAATTAGTCAACTCTTACGACATGCTTGTTGGAGAAGCAGTGGGTCTATTCTTGTTTTCCCAACAATGGGGCCCCAGAACCCACACAGGAAATTGTAATTCATTTGACTTTAGTTCCATGTGTTTGGTGGTTCTCCACCTTATTATTATACAGGCTGACTGACTGATGTTCAAACCCACCAAGCCCGCACAACGAGCGATAAACACCCCGTGACACGAAGTGCCACCATTCAGATAAGAATCACCCGGGCACAAGTCCCAGGAACCCAGTTCAACCATTAGGTTATATTTAAAGCCCCCGACAAGAGCCAGGGTGGGGCTTTTAAACAACAACAGAATTGCATCCCATATTGAGCCAATTTTTTTGTGATACAACTTTTGGCAGCATTGTATTATCCCTGAAATGTTTAATAATTATTTTCAAAATATGCATTTAACAGTCAACTAAAATATAATTTTAGTATAACTCCTAAGAATAGCATGCCACATTTTATTTTCTGGATAACTCTTACATTTTCATCTTTATTAAAACTATTATCTTCATTCCAGTTTTTGATATTTTTTCTTCTTTTCTGTGTGCCTACTATAATTTTAAACCTTACCCTGCTTTACAAGTAATCTTTAACCCACTCCTCACTCTTTACATTTAATTTTTAGTCTGCTTGAAAAGACTGATGGTAGAATACAGATTTGAACACTTGTTTCTTTTAAAATATAGGAATTTAATATACAAATAATGATATTAATTTTTATGTTTTTAAATTTATATACTAATAAGAAGTAGAAGCAGAAAAAAAAACTGCATGAGCTAAACTGTAATTTTAAAACATTTTATTCAGTTCTCTTGTAGTGTTAAAATCTATTATTAGTTTAATATAGCTCTTTCGTGCAAAATCTTATTTTTTTTTGCCTTTAATTTGACTGGCAGTGATAAAGAGAATGATTTCTTTTCAGATTAATCAAACTATAACATTAGTATCTATTTTCTTCCTGTTTTGAACATTGACAAGTCAAAAATAATTGAGAACGATTTATGTCACAATAATTGTGATATAACAATACAAGGTCCGACAATTAAGTCATGAGACTAATTTTATTATGGCCAAGACAAAAATGCCATCTATGAGGCAAAGCATGGAATCTAAAGAGGCAACATTCATCTATGATCTGGCAACTTTTCATCGCCGCTCAATAAGCAAACAAAGAAGCCGTCATTTTGTTGACCTAGTCTGAGGTGCATTGTTACATAATCAGCACAGAGTAAAGCTAACGTTAAAATCTGTTTAAAACTTAGAAAAAGCACAATTGAAACAGTTGAATTGATGCAACAAGTTTATGGGGATAATTGTTTATCTCGTGCAGAAATATTATGGTGGTATTCACGATTCAAAATAGTGGTGTGGAAATGATTACTAATGCACCTAGACCCGGACGCCAAATTTCTGTTCCTAATGATGAACTCATTGCAATAGTCAGAAAACGGATACAAGAAGATCATTGTTTTACTGTGAGGATGATGGCAGATGAATCTGGTGTTAATAGAGAGACCATTCATAACATTTTAGTGCAAGATTTTAGCAAGAAAGAATTTGTTTGCCAGTTTGTACCACATTCGTGTCTGAATACCAAAAACATTAACGGGTTGAGTACCCAAGAGAAGTCACCAAAGCAGGAATGTTTGGCCCAAAAACATGTGTATGTTCTCAGCCTTAACATCGACTTTAAGGGCCATAACAACAGAACTACAGAGGTCGTTCCTGTGTTTGTTAGATCGTGCCACTTGCTGTATCTTTGAATCAGATACAGGTTATATCTCCAATTGTTGATTATTTTAATTTTTATAGAATTAGTCTCATTACTTAATTGCCGAACCTTGTAGTATCACTTCTCTGTACATCCTGAACATTGACAAGTTCCAATTGATTGGTGTCTGTTTTAGGCTGAGCTTCGAGAGCTGGAGGAGAAGTACAAGGCTGCCATGATGACCAGCGCCCAACTTGACAATGAGAAACAGTCATTGACTTACCAGGTGGAGCTCCTGAAGGATCAGCTGGAAGAGCAGGATGAAGGCTACACAGAACTACAGCGAGAATATAAGGACAAATGCCGGGTAGGTTTTTATCGTTTTCTTTCTTTACACCTCCTAAAACTGTAGGCAGAAACTGGTGTGTTTAGCAAAATGCTTTATTCATTTTCCTACCCCATACAGGGGAAATGCACAGGCCACGGAACAGTCTAATATTTCAGGGGGTGGTAGATAGATTGCATGCAGTCGTGGGACCTAGGCTGCAAGCGGTCGTGAGACTTAGACTGCACTCTCTCATGGTTTGTTGGTGGGTTGTGGTTAGGGCCAGTTCTAGATGTTTTGGGGTCGTTAAAAGCATCAGAAAGCTGGGTAACCAAGTCTTACCACCCTCTAAAATTGTGTCCTGTGACGTCATCTGGGGTAGGATATCATTAAAAAAAAAAACCTGTGTGGGTTCTGGGGACCACATATTGGATGAAAAAGAATAGCCCCCCCCCTCCCCCATCCCTTTCCCTCTCACAAGCATGTAATAAAAGTCGACAGGGATATTTCCTTCAAAAATAAGAGTGGATCTGCCTGAGAGGCAAAGAACCAACAGTCCCCATACATTCCCCAAGATTGTAAAATAGAAGTTGCACAAGCATGTAATAAAAGTTGACAGGGATATTTCCTTCAAAAATAAGAGTGGATCTGCCTGAGAGGCAAAGAACCAACAGTCTGCATACAAAGTAAGCAAGATCTGTAAAATAAAAGTTGCACACAAAACTAAAGTTCTGAATCAAGGCTAGAAGTTAACGAACAACCAGAATTTTATGCCGGCGTTTACAGCCGGTGAACACTAAAAAGAAAAATAATTAAAACAAAAACAATTAAATGCAGTGATTCTGAAAAGACTGGAAAGGAAACTAGAGTTGTTGAATGAAATTAAAAAGAGACACGTGCAATATTTTGTCTGTATTAAATGACAACACTTGTATGAAAAACAAGCCATAATAAAGGGGAAAGTTAAAGGCAGGTGAGCAAGAGGCAGACAGTGATACAAGTAGATGGACAGCATCAAGACATGGAAAAGTAGCAGTCTGAGAGAATGAGTATCCTGGGTAAAAAACAGTGTGCTGAAAATCCATCGTGGCAAACCTTCATTTTGGAGACATCACCTGATTAATTGTGCTGAATGGCCCGTATGTTACTGAGCTCTGATAAGTAATGCAGTGAATGCTAACAGTGTAACTTACTGTGGATGTCAAAACAAGCCAGATAAGAGGTTTAGCATGAATTAGTGTTCGGGCTTGGGCTGAGTTTATAAGAGTCCAAAAAGTGATGAAAACAGGACTGACTGTAGTCAGGATAATACTGAGAATTGAAGCCGATGAAATACTGGAGTACTTCGTCCTTTGTTATTGTAGTTCACGTCAGAAAGGCTCGGCCCCAAATGTTTTTCCCCTCACCCTTTCGTCAGCGTCTGTGGCTTAGGCGTTGCGAATGTGCTTCATATTGCTGGGGTACCGGGTTTGATCCCAGTTGTGGACGGTTTGTCTTGTGTTGGTTTTGACAGTGGTACCAAGAGCTGACCGTTCAGTAAGCAGTGGCAAGCTACTGAACGTAAAATTCGCCTAAAAAAACCACAACAGCCAAAAAGTGCTGGGTTTGGTTCTGCAATGTCCTGTAAAGGATACGCAATTAACTTTTTTTTTTTTAAACTTCCCCCTTTCATTAAGCTTTTTAGTCACAGCTTATTAGATTAATTTCTAGGTTTAGAGAGGCTAAAGAAGTAAACAGTAGTACCAGTGTTAAACATGGACATTAACACCAAAAGCAAAAAAAAAAAAAAAAAATAAATCAAAACAGTAGACATGAAATGTCTACAACAAATCCTGTGTGTAATTATAAGTGACAGAATTAGAAATGACGATGTCAGAAAAGAAGTTGGGATGGAACCAGTACTAAACTATATTGAGAGACAACATCACATGGTTTGGAAATGTGTCAAGTCTACGACTAGATAGTGGGGACAGAGAGCCCTTTTCATTAGACATAATGGAAGCAGATCTAGACGTCGTCTATGCAAGAGATGGATAGATGGAACGCTATTGACATTTGGAGGCGACATCTTTATTTCCCAGCATGTTAGCTATAACTTTCGATTTTTATGATGTCTTGAGTGTCCTTTTATCTTTCTACTTCTTTATATGAGTGCCGATCAATACATTGCCTGTTTGTTTATTGTTTACAGTATTACACAAAATCTGTGTATTGTGACTTTCTCTTTGCTTATCTTTCTTATGCTTATGCTGATCTCTTTTGACAGGAATATGATTTTCAGAAACGTGACTTGAAAAGCATGGAACATGAATTAAGCATAGTTAAACAGCAATTAGAAATAAAAGACAGATTGATATTGGTAAGTTATATTTTTTTCAGTATGTGCCAAGATCTTGCTTTTTAAATATTTAAATGTTTTGTGGCTATTGTATTTGATTCACTTATTGGGGATACCCACCCCCCTCCCTTATTGTTAATTATTTTTTTTCTAATGTAACTACACCCCCCCCCCCTTTTCCCATCTCTCTGTCTCCATCCCTCTGTCTCACCTTTTTCTCCCTCAAGCTTCCATCTCAACTCTGTATCTCTCCCCCTCCACCATCTCCCTGTCTTTCTTCAGCCCTCTATCCAGCCTATTTCTCCCTTTCTCCCCAAAACCCTTCCTTCCTATTTCTTCTCTCCATGATTGCTCTAATTTGCAGACCTGCGTACACACCTGCAGTTGTATGCACTCTCATTATTTGTCTTTCCCCCCAAGAGAAAGAAAGGCATGTTTTGTTTGTTTTCTGGTATTTATAGTATCCAAAGTGTTAACTTTTTATTTGTAAATCAGTTATTTTAAAAGTGTTCTTTGCTGTGCTGGAGTAAAGTACACATAACTACAATATAAAATCTTAATGCCTTGTGAGGTTGAGTTATGTCAATACTCCATTTATTGGCATATCTTGAGGTTTAGAAATTGACAGAAATTAAAGGAATAACTGTGAGTTTTAAAAATACACTATTACCAGTCATTACTTTTACCAGCCTATCTTATTAGTAGTTTTGTGATATGATTTAGCTGTGTGATAAATTACTTTACAGGTTCTAATTGGCAGTCTTGAACATAAAAGAATTATGTAGGTATGTGTGAGGCTAATTCCCAGGTATTATTTAGCACTTAACGGATATAAAGGGATAAATTAGGGATAAGTGGAGACACTAGACCATATAAGTTTACCATTCTGTCCAGACCATCATGATCTGTTTGTGTTTCTGCATTGTTGACTTGCTCCCAAAGGACCCTGACCACAACTAGCATAGTGAAGTAACAGGTAAAGGACCCTTTTCCACACCTTTAGGCATATAGGGCTAGACCTATATTTTTATAGACCAGTCGGCACAAAATGGATGATGAGGTCAGCATAACGCAGACTGCCTTTTACTTCCCGGGACTGCACCCGGTACTGACTCAAGGCTGGGTCGACCTGTGAGCCAAGGTCATTTTCTTTTAAATACCCAAAAATGTCCACAACACGTGTTGTTCCCAAGTGGTCACACAACTAGCATGATATGCATTAATTCACCATCCAGTGGTCACAACCAGGCAGTCAGTCTGTCTGATCATTTCCCAACACCTCTGCGCAACCAGGAGAAAAGATCCAATAGACAAACCACCTGAGACCTCTGAAGTGATGTTTGCCACACTGGGCAGTGCGTGCTTGTCTCCACATTTCTCATCATACTTTGTGAGTCTGTTACAATCACAGTATGTGTATGCAGCTGCTTCTTAAGCCGGCTGACAGCTGCATGAATTGCCTCTACCTCCGTTCTCAAACTAAATGCTATGGTATCATATCTTAGGCTTTCTTCTACAGTGACATCCATTCGCTTTGCTTTGAACCCTCGTGATTACTTCTGCCTCTTAAACCTATAGCCACCTATATAGATAATCACATCACTTTCTGCAGGAACTGACATGAATCAGTAATTGAATTTCTAATTATGTGCTGCCTTGCACTCCCTACCCAATGGGCTTAGAACTCTACACAAATATGATTTGTGCTTTGACAGTTTGACTCAGTTCCCTCCCACCCCAGTTCTTTCAAGCCTACACACATCTCTAATTGTTTTCTGCTTGACTGTCCTCTTATCAGCCTCTTGCCCTTATCCAGGACTTCATTCATGAGGTGCTTTTTTTCTGTGGCTATGACCTCGCTTCAATCACTTTAAGCCTGTCTGCAGTATTCGGCAGTGCAAGGGTGTGTCACACAAACACTCAACCACTGGGGTGTCTCATCTACATCCTAGAATGGCTTCATTTGGTATCCTTTCAAGCTTTACCTGCTTACAGTTTGATACAGTGAATAGTCCCAGTCAGTAATCATCACTGAGAAGATCATATGCTGGTAGATTGTGAACATCATTTCTTGCTCCATGTCCATAGCTGGCATAATCTTCAGTGCTTTTGGCATTTTGCTGCAACTGGCTCCACAAGAAGATAAATACATGTATAAGAAGCATTCATTATGATAGGTAATTGTGTTAAAACATTATGAGAGATTACAATATAACAAACATTATAACAGATACATGAATAAAGAGCATTGAGATTTAAATGTATAAAAGGATTTTAACAGATACATGTTTGAAAAGCGCTATAACATATCTAAGTATTTTTTTAAAAGCACCATCACAGAATAATATATAGAAAGCATTATTACAGAACAATGTATACAAAGCGTTATAACAGATGAAAGTAGAAAAGCATTGTAACAAATGAATATATAGAAAGCATTGTAGCAGATGAATGTAGAAAAGCATAATAACACGAATGTATAAAAATATTGTAGCAGTTGAATTTAGAAAATCACTGTAACAGGGAAAAAGGAAGTAACAGGTATAAAACATAAAATTGGAATTTTACAAATTCTGTCAGAGGAAGACGTTGACCAAACCTAGATGTGGTTGATTAAAAACTTTCACTTGTAACGCATCGAATTGTGCTGCCTGGTTGTAACAAATTGGCACGTGATGCGTTCCCTGGGACTCAAAGAGTTAAGTAAGGTGCTATCATTTTTCAACGTAGTCGCCACCACTTTCCACCCACACACATGCCAGTGTGCTTAAAATACCTCGGACAGCCAAAAAGAGCTCAGTTTTCGGCCATGTTATGAGAAGGGGGAAAATGGAACATGTTGTGACCACTGGAAAGATCTGTGGCAGGAGGGATAGAGGAAGACAACAAGAAAAGATTCTTGACAATCTTGTTGGATGGCATAGAGGTGTGTCAGCACACAAACTGATACGTGCTGCAGGAAATTGTAAATGGTGGAGAGGCATGATCGCCCACACAATTTGGCAAGGCACCTGGTGATTATGATGATGCTGGATGCACCTAAATGTCGTCAAAGTTGGGGCGCTCCAATGTTGCTGTTATTTGTCTGCTTTTGTGCAGGCAAGCATTGTCATGTTGAAGAACAGATGAATGTAGAAACACATTGTAACATGAATGTAGAAAAACTTTGTAACAGATGAATGCAGAAACACATTCTAACATGAATGTAGAAAAACTTTGTAACAGATGAATGTAGACAAGTATTGTAACATGAATATAGAAAAACCTTGTAGCAGATAAATGTAGAAAAACATTGTAATTTGAAAGTAGAATAACATTATATAAGATGAATGTAGAAAAATGATATCACAGCTGAATGTAGAAAAACATTGTAACAAGTGAATGGAGAAAAGCATTTAACAAGTGAATATAGAAAAACATTGAAACATGTGAATGATGAAAAAAAAAAGCATTTAACAGATGATCATAAAAGATTCATGTTGAGGAAGCATTAAAAAAAAAAACTTTCACTATAATCAATAAATGTATAAAGTACATTATAACAAAAACATTGTATACAATCATTAAAACAGATGAATGTACAAGTATAATAATAAAAAATTAAAAGATGCATTTTTAAGCTAATAATAGTTAACAGTGTTTGAACTTAATTTAAAACTAATTATAGTTGAATCTATAAACTACATTTTCCAACTAATATGATATAAATGTAAGGTTAATTTAAAGTTGTCTTGTCATTAGAATATTTTGTTTCTTGACAGAAAGTAAATTAAAATTTTCACATACATTATTAAGTTTATTTCTTTTCAACGCTTTTCAGGACAGTGGATTTGTAATAGTTGCTAATGACAGTGGAGAGCCTGTTCTTGAAAAGTCAACACGGCAGAGCTCAAGTAATGGTCCCCTTCCTCCGAGTGGTGCTGTTCTGGTTTCCGTAGAAACTCATAACTTCTTAGAGAAGGCAACAGGCGCAAATCTAGGTAATAGAATTCATGAGTCTTATTCATATAATCTGTTTTGTTTTTAAGGTCAGCAAAAGCAATTTTTTTGTTAAAGAGCTGACGTGAAGCCGCCAAAGTGCAGTTGCTAGATGCTCACATGCAGAATCGAAGGTCGTAGGTTCAGATCAGACGGAGCATGGTCTTTTCTTCTTCTTCAAAAATGATCTTGGCTCCCAGGTCGACCCAGCCTTAAATGGATATTAGGCAAAGTCCTGGGATGTAAAAGTGTCTGGCTTGTTGTGGATTACATCACCCACCGAGTGCCGATTGGTCTATAAAATATAGGTCTAGCGTTATATGCCCTATACCCCTGAAGGCATGGAAAAGGGCCCTTTACTGAACAGCTGATGTGCTACAGTCTAACACTGTGCTATGACCACCTTTCACATCTCTGTGACTTTGGTAAATTAAGTAAAGGACCCTTTTTTACGCCAGTGTTGCACCAGGCATATGATGCCAAGCTCATATTTTTAAAGACCAGTTTTCACTTTATCAATGATGTGGTGAGCATCTCGTCGGCTGCCTTTACTTCCCATGACTTTTATTACCTGGTACCCATTTAAGGCTGGGTCAACCTTGGAACCAGGTTTATTTTGAAAAAAAATCCGATTTGTGGATTTCAACTCCAGACCTTTGGGCAGACGAGCATCCAGCTGCTACATACCACTGCTCCCTTCTGACAAAGTGAGTGAGCCATTTGCCACACATACTAAAAATTGTGGGCTGGATTTCTGACTTCATCTTCAAATTGCGACTGCGGGTCCATATCCCTTGGGGCTGTCGCTAGAGCTACAGGAGTTTCATATAGGTGAGCCACTCTTTGTAAAGATACTGCGGCATAAACATTTTGGAAAACTGTTTGGTTAATGTCAGAGGTCACTGTTAAAGCCTGCCAAGAACTACACAATTCCTGTCTGCAAGACTGCAAATATGTTGGTAATTCACAGCCACGGATTGAAAACTATGGGATAAAAAATTGTTTTAAACTCATCTAAAACCAATCATCACCCACAATCTGCCGCCCATGCCTCATCTTGAGAACTGATCAGTCTACATGAGTTTGCCCTGGGAGTTCTCCAGAGACAACGCTCTTAGATAAAGGGCCAAAGAGGACACCACACACATAAGCCACTAAACCAAATGGGAAGCTTAACTCTGTGAACATATGCCAGCTGAATTTGGATGTGTAGGTCGAAAGGCGCAAATATTGCAGCTATGATGTAAACAGACACAAACACAATTTTGTCACTCCGACGAAAAAAAGAGGAAGAAAGAATCACTATAGAGGTAGGCGATTTTTAACTAAATAGCCAGGCCCCCCGGTTAAATTATTCTAAAATGGGTACCAGGACAAGTTCTTGGAACTAAAAGTGATTGGCATGATATAAACTACAGTAATACCATCTACTGGGAAAATGGCGACTGGGTCGCCCATTGGCTTGCACGTGGATGACTTCATCGTCGTTCCGGGCAGTATTTTGGTCTGTCTCCTTTGATTGCATCAACAGTGCAGGAGTCCTTTTCAGGGCTGTTGGTGGTGTGCAGTTCTAAGCCATTTTATATTGTGCACATAACCTAGTCACAATTATAACCTAAAGCTCTCCCTTTAGGGTTGCTGGTTGAATGTGATGATTTTTCCCCCAGCAAATCACTTACCTACCTACACTTATTGGCAGCTGGGGTAGCGTAGAAGCTATTTGATTGCTGACCCAAAAGTCTTAGAATCCAAGCCTGTATTGAAGAGGGGAAAATGGAACATGTTGTGACCACTGGAAAGATTTGTGGAAGGAGGAATAGAGGAAGACAGTGAGAAGGAGATTCTTGACAGCCTTGCGACATGGCATGGAGGTGTGTCAGCACACGAACTAATACATGCTGCAGGAGATTACTGATTGTGTGGAGAGGCATAATCACCCACTCAAGCCGGCAAGGCACCTGATGATATTTGTGATGATGTAGTCAGATTTCAAACACAAAATGACCTTAGCACTAAGGTTGACCTAGCCAAAAATAAGTACCAGGTGAGGTTCGTTTGAGTGCCTATTTGTCTTTAAAATATGAGTCTGGAATCATATGCCTCCATTGGAGTGAAAAGGGGCCTTTTACTTTACACAATACCATCTGTTTTGTGGGGAACAGTTCTTAACCAGAGTGGATATTTTTACCTGATTTGAAAATTCTGTGAAATTCTAAATAAAATTCCCCTCCTGCCTAAACTGACGTTGTCCTTTTAGGTCAACACAGTCAACTCTTTCTTTCTCCATAAATTAATTGTTACTCCAAAATAATAAATTCTTGTGTCATAAGAAAGTCATTGAATGTTGAATGAGTGTTGAATTAAGAATCGACATCACAGCACTAGGGACACTCCCATAAGTTCTCTGTCCCCTTCTTCAGCAACAAAGGACGAGAGTTCCAATTCTGATGGCACCAGTAAGTAAAGTAAAAAAATAAAGGACCCTTTTCCACGCCTTTAAGCGTATAGGGCATATAGGGCTAGACCTATATTTTTATAGACCAATCGACACAAGATGGGTGATGTGGTCAGCATCACGCCGGCTGCCTCTACTTCCCGGGACTGCACCCGGTACCCAATCAAGGCTGGGTCGACCTGGGAGCCAAGGTATTTTTTTAAAAGTCCGGCTCTTCCAGGGAGCGAACCCACGACCTTCCGATCCGAAGCGAGCTTCTAGCCGCTCCGCCACGGGGACTTCCCGATGGCACCAGTGGTCATTGAATAACTGTCTGAGATAGAAATTGTATGCAGCAGCTGGAATAGGTTTTACTGGAAATATTTATTAATGTGTTTTGGCAAGAGGAGTTAAAGTAATGAACTAAAAGAGAATAGGTTAATTAATATAACAATACTCCTAGGGTAAAATAATTCAAACACATGATTTCTCTTTTCTCTCAATTCTGGGAACAGAAGGCTAAAAATGTCCTGCATTAACTTTGTCTTTATTCTACTTCTCCTCCCACCTCTTACCATCTCTGAAGCACATTGGTATTTTCATGACATTTACAAATTCTCACCAAGTGGCTGGTCTAAAAATAGATGCCTCCTATCAGTTAGAAGAAAGCCTAAGGGCTGTTAGACATTCTGTGATATATCAATCATGCATTCTGTTCATGGAGTCAGTTGCTGGCCTTTGTTATTTCTTATTCGAGATTTCTACAGAATGTGTGCAGAAAAAAAAAAAAGATTTTAATGGTAACTTGAATATAATGGGGATATGTGCAGAAAAAAAATGTGTTCAAGTTGTATCTGGATTTTATGGGAGGAGGCAGGAAACCTGGGTTTTGGTGAAAGGTAGCTGAATGTAATGGAGGGACTGTGTAGGAGAAGAATGGGGTTCTATTGATAACTCAATATAATGAGTTTTTTTGGGTGGGGAAGGGGGGGGGGGGGATAAGGTTTTAGAGGTAACTGATTATAATAGGAGCTTGCGGGGTGGGGGAGGGGAAGGGAATAATGGTGATAAGTGATAGGTCTTCTGCCTATGTGAGTTTTTGGGGCCCCTGTTTTAGGTGAAAAAAAAAGGAAAAATAGGCCCACTGCTTCCCTAACAAGCAAGTCGTACAAGGCTACTAATTAAGAGAGCTTCTTTCGAAATCAGAGTGCATCCTTAGAGGTGAGAAACCAACAGTCTGCATACAAAATGAGCCAGATCTATAAAACAGATGTGCACACAAAACTCAAGTTATGGAACAAGGCTAAAGTCCAGAAGTTTCTGCCAGGGTTTACAGACTGGATGCTGAAAGAAGAAAAAGAAGATAGATCTTCACAGATACTAGCTCATTATAAAGTGAGGTTGTCATCTTCTTTTCCTAACCATCTGTTACCCATTTTACAAAACTGTTAACTGAATGAGTTGAGTTGAGTCACGAATTGACATCACAGCACTCTGCCCATTCCTATGTGTGCCCCGTCCTCATCTTCAGCAGCCAGTGCAGAGTTCCAGTATCAGTTATGCCGGTCATAACCTGGTTATATAGTTCACTGAATATATTGAGGGAATGTACAGTACATAGCACGCTTTAATAAGGGACAAGTTAATCTCAAGGCACCTTCTTCTTTACGTCCTGTTTTACCGCATCAGTTGTCGAGGTAGGTACAAGGTCCTGCTTTGTGCTCTTCAGGCTGCTTCAACCATAGACATGGTGTTGTAGAGTTTCTTTGATGTTATCTTCCCATCTTGTTCTTGGTCTACCTCTTGCTCTACTTCCTTCTCCTCTTTTTGTAAATGCCTTGTATGCCATAGAGGGTGCTACAATTTTAAATAGAACCTGTTCTGCTGTATGGCAGCGAATCTTGGAATGCCACTGAACAAATTAAGAAGAATTTGGAAGCAACAGAGATGTGGTTTCTGAGACGAATGTTACGAATACCTTGGACGGCCAGAGTAACTAACAACGATTGCTTGAAAGAGGCTAATGAAAGTAGATCTCTATATACAACAATAAGAAAGAGACAAACACTGTTCTTTGGCCACATAATGAGAAGAGAGACACTGGAGAACATCATGACAACTGGAAAGATCAGTGGAAAAGGGGGTAGAGGCAGACAAAGAGATTTGATGCTGGATGGGCTAAAACGATTGCATGGAGGGTTATCAAGAGAGCTATTCCAGTCAACCAGGGATCGTGATCTGTGGAGACGCATGAGCGCCTACGCCAGTTGGCATGGCACATGATGATGAAGGTTAGCATCAGGAGGCATTCTGTCCATGTGGGCAAACCATTTTATTTGCTGTCTGTGTATATAATTTAGAATTGGTTCTGTGCTTAACAAGGCAGCTTAAGGGTGTTAAATGTTAGGCATTGATGAAGTGAGATTGTTATCTGACTTCCTTGCTACCTTTGCTGCGCAGCTAGATCTCTATTATCAGCTGACTTAATTTTACTGCAACATGGATTGTGATTCATACATATAATTAATTTTTTTTTAAATTGTCAATCATATGCATATATGGGTAGGAGCCATGGTGGTATCACGACTAGTGCAGCCGCTTGCTGGCATATGTATTTGGACTATAGGTCCGTACTTCTACCTTAAAAGGCTGTTATATTAGTGAATATTCTTTTTTTTTAATCTATTATCTTTCTTTACCAGTTTTTGCTTACAGAATTGAGAAGTGGTTGAGTAAAATACTTTAGCCATCCTATAGAAAGCCAGCAGATCCTTGTTTGATGACATTGTGTTGTACTGGGGATGTAATAAAGTAAAGTATCCTCTTTCACGCATGATTCATTGTAAAAGACGTCCAATAGGTTTAAAAACTATTTGGCACTCATTGGGGGATTTGGTCAGTATCACACTAGCTGCTTTTACTTCTCAGAGCTTTATAGCAGCTGCAGAGAGCCGATTCCTGGCATGGTAGAAATGTTAGAATGATGAATTGACTTGATTCAAGTACCGAACATCACAGCACTGGAAGCATTTCCATAAGCACTCCGTCCCCATCTTCAGCAGCCAGTGTAGAGTTCCGATGCCAGTAGCATTCTGATTAAATGCCCGTCTTGCCTTGTCTCTGAGCCTAAAGCATCTACCAGAACCCCTCGTCACTCCCTGTTGCATCAGTCTTACCAGACTGGCGATCCATCTGCTTCTCCGAACTGTACATGCTTTCCCACTTGGCACTAACCACGTCTGCCTTATCATGCATCAGTATTCCACCAAGTTTTGCAGAGCCAGCCAGTCTCTCTGCCTGTTTATTTCCCAACACTGGCATATCCCGGAGAAAAAATCTAGTCAGAATGCTTATTAATTTTTTTTTTTTTAAGGCGAAGTATACACTGAAGGATCAGTAACCTGGGGCAGGTTAAGTGCATGGGCATTCACAGTGAGCTCAAGAGGAAAACTATCAAGGAGATGAATGACACCTTTGCTGTTACAACTAGTAGCCTCACAATGAAAACTGCAGTTGTAACAAGGGCATTAGCATGACTGGACTCATGCATGCATACTTAGAGACTCAATAAATATGAAACAGAAAATCCAGGCTTGGCTTATCAGACAAGAATGGATTTTAATACTGAGCACTTTGCAAATGGCTGGCCTAATCGTCATCTTTGTGCCAGCTGATGCGGGAGTTTGAGGCAGCGAGCGTGCAGATTATTCTGCAGATACTGCGTTTTGATTTGGCTGATTCTCGATAGAAGTGATGACATTTTTAGCACTTACCGCGAAAGCCAAATACGAATACTCCGTATCCCTGTCCATGGACATGGGGGTGCAGCCAGGATCTGCAAGAAATGAACATTTCACCAAGAAGAGAAGACGTTTGATTAGTCAACACAGAACAAACATCATCATCTGTTTTACACTTGTGGAGGAGCTCAGAGCATCTGTGGATCTGTACAGGGTTTTGATAATCCTCACTAATCAATTATCAGAACATTTTCGAGGTATCCTTTTTAGGATGGTCACCTGGGAGTATAGGTAAATTAAAAAAAAAAAAAATCAATTTCTTATTTGGGATTTGAACATAAGACCATTGTGCTAGCAGGCAGATATGCTAGCCACCAGGCTACTACACCACTAAATAAAGGGTGCTAGACACATTTTTCTTGATCAAAATAGCTTATGATGGGTGTTCTGGCTGCCATAAATAAACAGTGAATGGTGGTAGGGAATTTAACAGGCACACAGATTGGCTGGCTCAGCACCATATTTTGGTAAATTGATGTATGACAAACTTGATGTTATCAAGGCTTTTAGGAGTGAGTGAATGGTGGGGAGGCACAAGTGGATCATCATCACGTATTATCATCATAGTCCGAAGAGAATGATGCAGTAGGGACTGCCCAGGAGGCCTGGCCGACACTCATCACTCAGAGAAAAAACAAGATGGACATACAATCAGATTATTGTTGGTACCACTAGAATTGGAACAGCGCTGGCTGTTGAAGATGGGGATAGAATTGTCCTGAGTGCTGTGTTGTCAATTCTTAACTTGGCACAATTCAGCTCATTTAGACAGCATATGTCGAGGACTCATTTGTTTCCGGCTTGAGATGTATGTGATGCTAGCCACATATTTATATAGATCTTTTGGCTCACGTCGATGGGAACTTTTCGTAATGCCGGGATGCCGGGTTCGATCCCAGCTGCAGGCCATGCGCCTTGCATTGGTTTCGACATTGGTATCAAGAGAGCCGACCGTCCAGAAAGCAGTGGCAAACTACTGGACGTAAATTTGCCTAGAAAAACCTGCACAACAGGCAGGAGCTGTTGGGGTTGGTTCTGCAACGTCCTGTAAAAGATATGCAACTAACCTTTTGGCTCACAGTTGGTAATGTGGTCATTATCACATCGGCTTCCTTTACTTCCTACACTATCTCCTAGTACCCATTTTAGAGTAAATTGATCTAAGAGCACAAGTCATGTTTTTTTTCTCTCTAAATCTGCCTCCGGGATTTCTGTTCACAAATTTGTCTGTTTGCCTGTGTACTCGCACATGCATACACTACTTAATTTCAATAATTTGTTGTTTGGGGCTGCTCACACTTTTATATTCTTTGCACTTGCATGCACATTTTGTCTATTTATATTTGTACATCAGAGAAGAATGGCTAGTAAGCTCAGAAACTGAAATATTTTGGCCATGTCAAGTGCCAAGGTAGATTGGAGACAAAAAATTACAGAAGGCGTGGTACCAAGAAAGAGGGGCAGGGTCAAACCGTCACGAAGATGGGCATAGGATATAAGTGACACCTTGGGTAAGAAAGTGCACGAGACGGGAGAGCTATTGAGATTTTTACTATCTTACAACCCTACCCTGATGATAGTCAAATTCTGCAAAGGACCTTCTACATCATGATGATAGTATTTGGAGTTAAAAAGACATTAATGCATTTTTTATGTAGAATAGCTATTCTTAGTATTAAATTAAGTGACAAGTTAATTAATTGTTGTCTTTGTTTTCCTTGCCCGCAGATGATAAGATTAAAAACTTTGCTCTAGAAAGAGAGTCCTTACGTAAAGAGGTGAGAGTTAGTCTTTGTTGATCAAGTGAATGTATATTTTGACAACACCTGTACAGCAATCTGTCATGGAAGATTATTACTGCAGCAAGATGTGACGGCATGACAGTTAAGTTATGAGATTTTTTTTCAAGACACAACAAAAACAACAGTTGAAGGTGGCACACCCTGAATACTGTAAGGTCACTTTTATAGCAATAAACAGTTAAGACACGTAAAAAAAAAATTGCATCAACACTGCGAGAGTCTTTTTCAGGGCTGCTTGGTGGCGAGCAGTGCTAAGCCATTTTAAATGGCGCATATAAACCTAGTGACAATAAGGATGCTGGTTGAACATGACGATTTTTTTTCCTCGCAAAGCAAGCAAGTAAGCAGGGGATGTGAGCTATCCCTAAACCTTCTCAATTGATGGAAGCACTAGCACTTTCTCTGTCTTCCACTTGTTGAACAAGTGTTTAATCTAGTCCTGTTCATTTCTTGATGTTTTCATTCCAGATTCTTCTTTGCACCCTATTCTTCGACTATCCTCTAATGTTCTTTGCGGTAGAGTCTTTGCCATCGATTCATGTTTCACTGCATGCCTGAACCAGACTAGCTTGCGACGTTTCACCAATGCCAAAAGAGGCTTCTGATGTCCTGCAGTTCTGCAAGTTTATTAATTTCTTTCTGTTTACATATTTGTTAGTTATATGTTCTAAATAGCTAATTTGTAAAATTCCTCTATAGCATTTATATTTGAAAGCCTGAATCCTCCTCTGCATTTCTGTGGTGAGAATCAAATTCTCACATCTGTCAAAGAGGATAAGACAATACCAGTGATTTGATATAGAGACAAGACATAGAATGTTGAATAACCATTGCAGTCAACTTTCATTATATAGACAGCACCTAACTGATTGAAAAAAAATGGTATATGAAAGACAATAGCATAAAAAGTTTTTTTTTTTTTTTAACATCATGCCTGACATGTAGAAAGCAAATCAGTTGCCAAAACATTGGAGAATTTATTTTTAACTTGTTGCAAAGATGTTTACATATTTTTCTCACAAAACATTTCGTTGGAGTTTGTTGACAATAAAATACCTCAAACATATAATAGATAGTCTACACTGCAGTATGTCAACCTTACATTACAGTCTGCTTCACACCGTGTAGTCTGTCTGCCCTACATTAATCTACTTTACATTGCAATCTTACATTGGGGTTCTGTTCACTGCATAGTCTGTCTGCCTTACATTAGTCTACTTCACACAGCATTGACTGTCTTCATCACATTGTAAAGTCAGTGTACCTTATGTAACATAGGTATCTGCATTAGATTATATAGTCTGTCTGTTTTATTCTGCAGTCTGCCTACCTTACATTACAGTCTACCTCAGACATCATCATCTGTATATTACTAAGTAAAGTAAAAGACCCTTTTCAGGCGAATTGTGCATATAGAGCTAGACCTGTATTTTATTGATCAGTTGGCATTTGGTGGGTGATATAGCCAGCATCCTGCCGACCGTCTTTACTTCCCAGGTCTTGTGAAACTTGGACTGTATACAGATGTCATGCTCAACCACTTCCACACAGTCTGTCTAAGAAAGATACTGAACATTAAGTGGCAAGACATGGCCCGGATACTGTCGTACTGGACAGGGCCGGCATACCCAGCATCACTACCACCCTGATGCAGTCACAGATTCGATAAGCTGGCCATATTGTTCGAATGCCCGACCATCAGCTCCCAAAAATCTTTTATGGTGAGATACGTGAAGGTCGACGTTCTCATGGGGGCCTGAGAAAGCACTTAAAGGACACACAAAAGGTATCATTGAAAGCCTTTAGTATAACCTTGACTGGGAGGCTGCAGCACAAGACCGTATTTTATGGCTTGCATATATCTGAAATAGTGCAACGATCTGCGAGACATCTAGAACAAGGGCAGCTGAACAGCGAAGAAAGGCCAGAAAGAACCGCCAAACAAGCCCTTTGTCTACAGACACTGTGCCCTGCCCTCATTGTCCTAGACTCTTCCGGGCACATATTGGACTTATAAGTCATCTCCCGACTCACAAACATTCAACTGTAGTTTCATGACGGATGAAAGAAAGAGTGGTCCTCATCACTTGTGATAGACGAACGAAGCTGGTACCCACTCAAAGATGGGTCAACCTGGAAGCCGAATTATTTTACAAAAACACCACAGAGGCTACCTCTCTATATCACTACAGTAGTTAATCTACATTATACTGCATATTCTATCATCCTTATTCCAGTAACCAATTGCCTTACAGTACATAGTAAAACAGTAATCTGCAGAATTTATCTCTCTTACACTACATTAACAAATTTAAACTATTATTTACATTCAGATTAAAGCCTTGAAGAATGAACTTGAAGACTACAAATGTAATGCTAAGAAGGGAGACCACTCAAGTAATGTCAACCAGATTAATGGTCCTGAAATGCAACTCTATGAAATACAGCGTAAGTATTTATGTTCTTGTACAACTTTATTGTTTTGTCTTGAAGTTAGGTTGATTTTATCAGTATATAATAACTGTCATTAATTATAGATAACGTCAATCGTATTTCTGAGAATATAGTTACTAGTGATAAAAAGTGTATATGCATAGCATAATAGTTTGTTTATTATACTTATAATTCATAACTTGTTAAGAAGTTGTTTGTTTAAAAGTAGTAGAAACAGTTTTATGGATGATAATTTGAAAACATAGCTTTATTAATGTTGAAAAATTTACTAGACAAATTCAGGTTGCTTATTTCCAACCTAAAAATTAATATAGGAATGAATTTTGTTTTGTTTGTTTTGTCTAACAATATTTGTTACTTGACAGAAGTGATGGAGATATTCTTTCCAGTTGTTTGTGGGGTTCTTTCCAATTGTTTGTTGGGGGGGGGGGGGGGTTGTTATCTTGAGGCTGTGCTGTAGTCAAAAGGATTAATCGTAGTTGTACATATTATAGTAGATTTTTAAAAAGTAACAATGCATCAACAATAAGAAATTTTTTTTTTTTTAAATATTGTAATATGGGAGAACATGGAAGAAGGTGCAAGAGGTTGCAGTAAATAGGAAGACTGTATGAGATAGTTAATGGCTATACCTGATAAGTCCCAGGAAAAAAACGTGCGGAAAAAAAAAGCCTTTACATGGGTTCCAGTTTTAAAAAATATATGTATAAAAAAAAATAATATGGACAGAAATATTCAGTAAACATGAATGGAGTAAAGAATTCAAAAAAATTAAATAAATATCCCTGGACCTAAAAAATTAAAATATGTATCAGATGACAGTGACCTTGTCGAAAGACTAATACTAAGGCCATGTCAAATTGTGACGTTATAATGGCTTCGAAGTAGCCATTGTTTCCCACAATAACTCCCAGCGCCCCACATCTCCCCTTTCCCACTATTTTGTTTGCAGTAAATATAATCATATCCTAACCTCCTAAACACCGTGCAGGTGCAAACACAACCATTAGTGTTAACTAGGCTTCCTGGAGACAGGCTATTGCTGCAGCCCTGGTTAAGCGAGATTGTCACTGACAGGTGTGCAGGGTTAGTGACTTCTTAGGGTTAAAAGGTTAAAAAGAAACATGAAGATAAACAGAGACTGAGTGAATAAGATGGAAAGGATGTGAAGTGATTTACTTGTCATGGCAAAGTGTAGGACTATTTAGTGAGAGTTGTTTGAAAGTCAAATGCTACATAGCGAGTTAATTGGAAGAAAAAGAACTTTCTTCTAAAGCCTGAAATTTCAGGAAGTCTTTACCCTGCTAGAAGTTATCTACAAGAATCTGCTCAAAGTTGCTGCGTTGATGTGTAAAGCAACAGCACCATTCTCTACTACAAATATAGTGGGAACATGTTATTTGTGTTTACTAATTATTGAACTTGTGTGGGTCTAATGAAGGTATCGTTGTGTATTTGAGTAATGTGCTTAAAATGTTTATATTGATTCTCAGGCATTACTGAACATGAACGAGGTAAATGAAGGCATGGGGTGAAGTTCAGTGATCAGAGAAATATATGTTCATTATACTTGACAAGTTGTTGATCAGTATTCATGTAACAAATAATATAGGTTTCTCTCTAGTTATAATTTGAACAGTGTTTTAATGTAACAAATAATATAGTTCTCTTTCTCTATCTGTAGTGACACCATGTTTATTGTTATCATCCTTTGAGTAGAACTGTCCAGTTTGTATGCCATGCATATTATTTTAATCCTCTAAATATGTGCAGTTTCTGCAATACTTTATGTAATGAAAACTTCAGAGTATAGTGTGGCATTGTGTATTTTGTTTTTGTTTAGTTTTTTTTTCTTCAAACAAATGTTAACACTGTAGTTTGATTGCTGTTTCATTGTGGTATGTTCACTAATCAGCAGCTATGCAAGTGGTAACGGTTATCATAGATACTTGAAGTGGTAACGGTTATCATAGATACTTGAAGTGGTAACGGTTATCATAGATGCTTGAAGTGGTAACTGTTATCATAGATACTTGTAGTGGTAACCGTTATCATAGATACTTGAAGTGTATTGGGTATATAGTGCTAGTCTAGTCCTATATTTTATAGACTAATTGGCACTTGGTGGGCGATGTGGTCAATGTCAAGCAAGCTGCCTTACTTCCTAGGACTATACCTGGTACCCACTCATGCTCACCTTACCTTGTTATATTTTGTTTCTTGAATTTCATTTCAGATTTCTTCTCATGAAGATATACTATTTCTTTCTTCTATAAATATTCATTTGCAAAGAAGTCACTGTGAACTGTACTTTCATTAAAAAAAAAAAAGTTACATTTTTTTTAATAGCTCATTTTGTTCAAACAGCCAATAGAAAAGTAAGGTTCAGCCAAGAGAATATTTTTCTTCCATTTGGAGATAAAAATACAGAAAGATAATTAAATTAGATGTTCTGTAGATGGAAAGGGGGGGGGGGGGGGGGGGGGGGGACTACTGAAAACCAAATTCAAAGGATGAAAATGTCACAGAGTATGTGATAATGCAATGTTCTTTTTAATGTTAACCAAAGGGATGACCAACTAATGTTTCAGCAAACAGGAACTTGCATTATCACAGTCACGTTCAGTATATGGTGCTACAGCCATATCGTTTTAGATCAGTCGGCATTTGGTCTATCAATATATGATCAGAATTTCCTCCACTAGCGTTCGATTTCTCCGGCGGACATTCAGAAAAATTATTCTTATGGTTTTCTGACGACAATACGAGAGTTACACTATAAAAGAGATCAGGGCCTGAGATGACAGCCTTTCCACACAATATTTCCAACGTCAGCAGCGGGTACATGTAGCCAAACTTCTTAGGGGGTTCGGCACACAGTTTAATTGTGACCAGCATTTAATATGTGATTAGTCCTGTTTACTTCCCAAGACATTTTGATATGGGTCGGCCTGGCAATCCTAGGTTTCTTTTTAAAAAAAAACACACAAAAATCTGCATACCCTTTCATAGATATATTTACCATTATTAGAGCATGCTTGCATCTTCTTGTTGCTGTTCCTAGTTTCTGCCTGCCTGTATAAAGTGATTAACATAGTGATTACCTTTCTCGGGTTGACACACTTTTTTTAAAGGAGGCTTTCTTATTAATCCTCTGTGTGTTCTTTTCATGTATAAGAGAATCGTACATAATGAAAACAAATATTGGGATATCTCTTCTTTTTTTTTCAAAGAGAGAAGTAACTTGTGTAATTTTATAGCACAGAATATTAAATTGTGTGTGAGAGAGAGATTGAGAAAGAGAGAGAGAGAGAGACAAAGAGAGAGAGAGAGCATATTTAATACATATATTTAATAAATGGTAATACAACTTTAAACCATATTTTAAAATAATCAACCAAAATGCAAACAAGAATCTAGTCAGTTGTCCACCTCGTGACTCCCCAATTTAAAAAAAAATGTGCATGTGAGTCATGCGAATTAAATGTTCCAAGGCTTAAGTCCACTCCTGCTTAAAATATCAGAAGCCTGAAGTCCACTGATTGTTAAAAATATCCATTAGTTGTTCAAAGCCAGAAGTCCACACCTGGTTAAAATATCCAGGAGCTGTTGAAAGGCCGAAGTCCTCTCCTATTTAAAATATCCATTAGTTGTCCGAAGTCTGAAGTCCACACCTGGTTAAAATATCCAGTAGTTGTTCAATGCGCGTTGAAGTCCTCTCCTTGTTAAAAATATCCATTAGTTATTCAAAGGCTAAAGTCCACTGATTGTTAAAAATATTCATTCGCTGTTCAAAGGCTGAAGTCCACTCCTGGTTAAAAAATCCATAAGCTGTTCAAAAGCTGAAGTCCACACCTGGTTAAAATATCCAGTAGTTGTTCAAAGGCCGAAGTCCTCTTCTATTTAAAATATCCATTAGTTGTCCGAAGCCTGAAGTCCACACCTGGTTAAAATATCCAGTAGTTGTTCAATGGGCTGAAGTTCTCTCCTTGTTAGAAATATCCTTTAGTTATTCAAAGGCTAAAGTCAACTGATTGTTAAAAATATTCATTCGCTGTTCAAAGGCTGAAGTCCACTCCTGGTTGTAAATATCTATTAGTTGTTCAAAGGTTGAAGTCCACTGCTGGTTAAAAAATCCATTAGCTGTTCAAAAGCTGAAGCCCACAGCTAGTTACAAATATTGTTTAGTTGTTTAAAAGCCGAAGCACGCTCCTGGTTAATATATTTGTTCATGCTGGATGGAAACTTGAACCTGCTAACACACACCTTTATTGGACCTAAAAGACAGGTTAATAGGTTTTTGCTACAGAAAGCGAGGCTGAGGGTGAGAGGTTAAGGCCAGGTGGTGTTATTGGGATACTGAGAGGAACATTGTTTAAGGTGCTGTCATGTTTGTGTTTAGTTGCATGTAGTTATAATTGAAATTGAAAAATACAACATTGCATGTAGTTACAATAAGAAAATACAGCAGTCTTATTTTTTTTTTTTTTACTAAAACTGGGAAAAAGCAAAAGTTAAAATTAAAAAAAACTGAATTTCCTTAAAAATTGGGGAAACAGAAAAGTCTTCTGGAAATATACTCGGTATTGCGATCTTTTCCATCAACCGTAACCTAATTTTGTTCTCCAGTTGACAAAAACAAAAGTATCCATAAACCTTGAGGAATGCTGAAACAGGACTTTAGACAAGGGTTTTAAGTACTTGTGTACATGGGATGTATTTTATTGGTGTAATGACTATATGTAAAAAAAAAAATTGTGTTGCTAGCATGATAATTAGGTTTGAACTTGTATGGTCAGTTTTTGCTAGTAGGTTTTTTTCTTAGTTTCATGAAGATTGCTTACTGTAAGCATAAACGTCTGTCTAATGCATGAGAGTGATATTTAAGTACCTCAGTCAGGAGCAGAACCTTTTTTCTTCCACAAAACATGTAAGATAAAAGAGGAAGTGACAGAGAAGAAGTCAAAAGCTGTGTTTGTAAAATAGCCAATAAGCTTGTGTATCAAATCGGCGTTGTGCAACGACTTCAGTCACAGGCATGAGGCGAAGTTAAGACTGTTGTACTGTGTATAAGGGGATACCCAGTACCGCACACACTGGCCACTAGCAGGCTCAGTGCTGGTTTTACAGAATCTTATGCAAAACTCCCACATCCACAGATAGTGGCCTGTATAGGTCACCTATACCGAGCAGAAAATCTCTGGCACTCATCAGTCACCCCCCACCTCGCAGTATGTATGTGATAATGTCTGTTGAAAACTAATATAGAGAATGAGTGAAGTTCACGGGTTTAGACTTCTACTAAATGATGAACATTGGTTCACATGTCGATTAAAAGTTGAACTAAATGGTAACATCTTGAAGACACAAAAGGTTCACATGGGCCACGGTCATCCTAGAGATAGAATCGAAATTTCCTTCAAAGTCGGAGCTCATTTGCCTGAAAGCGAGAGACTAGGATGGATAACTAGGAATTTCAGTTGGAGTACCAGGAATTTCCGCTGGAGTTTACAGCCAGTGAGTGAACACAAGCAGAACGACAGATAAACAGCATCAGGGTAGAGGTTTGCATTCAGTATGCAGTACTGGCAGGATTGCTTGTCAGCCAGTATGGCTCTGGAGTCAAGCCAGCCTCTTAAAATGATTTAGGATAACTGAGAATTTCTAAGGAATAATGTTGAAAAAAAAAAATGGATCTCGCCACCTTAGCTTGTTATTTTGTGGTCTAGAACATGCGGACTGACACTTCATATAAAGGTGTCAGTTTTGGCAAGGGAACAAAGGTCACTTTTTTGGGAAAAGAAGCGGTGTCAGCAGGGGCCAGATTTTTTTTTTTTTTAGCGAACAGGTCACCTGAGTTTAACCCCCTGTAAGGTGATAGACCTTTTTTCTGTCTGTGGCAAAAATAACATCCTAACCTGCACGGTCCATGGCGACAGCATTAGCCTTGCCACCCTAAGTCCTCAGACTCATGCCCATCCTGTCCACGCGGCCCTAAAAGTGTTGAGTTGAGTTAAGAATTGACATCACATCACTCAGCGCATTCCCATATGCGCTCCCTCCCCATCCTCAGCAGCCAACGCAGAGTTCCAGTACTAATGATGCCGGTCGTAGTCTGGTTGTATGTTCAGCCCTAAAAATGATAAAATCAGACAGTAGTGACGGTTACAAATAGATGTTATTGATCAGCAAAAACGCTTTCTCAACTTTTGGCTGTTTTGGGAAGATAAAGTTTGGTTATAAGACTAAATTTGGTTTGAAAATAGTACTGATCAGTGACAGTACGCCAAACGGATAAAATTATGTGCAGTATTTAATGCACCACATTTCATTTTTGGAGCCTAGGAAGTGCATTAGCCTGGCTACAAATTCTCTGGTCATGTATTTGAATCTGCATGGTGTTTTTGAATGATTGACCTGGTCTTAACGCAGCCTTTAAAGGATAATAGGAACTGTCACAAAAAGTAAAGGCAGCCAGTGTGATGTTGACTGTATCTCCCATCACATGCTGACTAGTGTATAAAAATACGAAGCTGACAACATATGCCTCATGGTGTGCTAAATGGTTCTTTTGACACTTTCTTGTAACATCATTCTGATAAATATCTATTACATTAAATGTGTTACAGCTTTAGGAAAGTCATATGAAAACGGAATTATTAATTTATTTGCCATGTGATATTTTGAAAATACAGATACATTTATGACCTCCCCCCTTCCACACACACACACACACACACTTGCACCCACATGCACACACACACATTCACACACACATACACACACAGACAGAAGTCTATGAGGTCACAGAAGTGGAATTTAGGAGTGACATGTTCACAAGTTTTAGATTTTAGTCTGTACATCCGGTAGAAAGATCACAGGTCTGGCATGCTGTTAGAAACCCTTGCTGTATGGATCACTGAAGGACATGAGTCACACTGCAGCCTTCATAGAGGCCTTTGACCTTATCTGAAAACTATTGGCAGGGAGAATGAAAAAAAAGAAATTTTTGTCTTTAGACTGAATAATCTGACAGTGTATATGTGTGTCTATAAGTATACATCTGTTTCATGCCAGATTGTGCAGTATTACTGCTTTGATACCATCTGCTATGTGGTGAACAGTTTTTAACAAGAATATATATGTTTTTACCAGATTAGAAAACTATGTGACAGTTTTTACCAGATTAGAAAATTATGAGACAAAAATGAAAGTGCTATTATGAGAATGTTGGAAAGGGTAGGGAAGATGGGAAAGAATATTACAATTGTAATGTTGAATTCATTTAGTAAATTGTCAGCTTGTAAACTGAAACATATTCTGATTTCCCAGTTTTTGAATGCCTTACGCAAAAGAGTCTGCTTTTTCAGATGTTAGTGCTTTTTACTGCTTTTTCTTTCTTCCAAAGTTTAAATAGAGGCAAAGCATACCTGTCTGGCAAATAGAGTTAGATTTTGTTCAATTGCTTCTGGAAGTTAACCTGTTAGCATTCTCATTTTTGTGTTGGTCTTGTTTACATTTTGTAAATATGTTTTTTTTTTTATATATGTCCACTTCAGGTGTACAGAAAGAAACCATGAAATGTTATACAACAAATTTAACATGTTGATTAGTGATTTATTTTATTCATTTAAAAGTTTCCTACTGGCCTTGCCAGAAATGAGCTGTCAGGTTATGACCTGTGTCATGTATTTGAAGCAAGGCAGGTCACCACGTCAGTGAGGCAAAATGTTAGATTTTTTGATTGACCGTGAGTGAGTATAGGACTTAACAAGCAGGCACTGAAATCAGAAACATGAATTGAGGAAGTGGGGATGTCCTAGAGAAACCACAAAATGAACATTGCTGAGGAAAGCCAAAAGTACCAGACTGGATTCTTCCTTCTTATTTGCCGCCTGTAAACTTCAGCTGAATGTTTTGGTTGTTTGTCCAACTTTTGGACTGTGATCTTGTTCCAGAACTTCAGCTTTGCAAGCACATCCGTTTTACAGACCTGGCTTATTTGTATGTAGAGTGTTGGCTCCTCGCCTCTCTGCAAGATGCACTCTAATTTCAAAGGAAACACCCCTTCCTGTATAGTCGACTTCTACGACATGCTTGCCGGGAGGGGGGGGGGGGGTGTGTGTGTGTGTGAGTGGGTATGATCTTTTCCTCGTAAAAATGAGGCCCTAGAACCCACACGGATAGGACTAGATTCAGTCCAAGATATCAGTACAATTGCATCGGATGGAGGGTTATCGACAAGCCCTATGTGAAGTATTACGGCACAACAGGTTAATGATGATGCTGATGAAGGAAAGAGTTAAGTGAATAGAATTCGCACGCATTTAAATATTTGAAGATACCAAGACTGTATTGCTGGAAAAATATCTGCATTTGTGGGCAATTGAACTGTTGAATCAGTTATTGTTTGAGTTATCCTCATAACACCTCCAAAACATCCATGGGTGCTCAGATTCCCTCCTAAACACATCGTCATTCAGCAGCTAATAGTGCTTGTCCATCCTGTGCTTGGTTGATAAGGCTTCTCCCCACATTTGTTGTGTACGTCTGTTGTGCCACTTCTTCCTGGCTGTGCCAATCATTACACCCAAATCCCTCATTCTCTCTTGTATGTCTTTGTCATTAAGTCATACACTATCAACAGTTGAAAAAGGACTGCTTTCATTAAGCTAGGCTTTTTTTTTCAGTGCTTCTAATTAGGTTTGCAACCATAAGTTCAAGAAAAACATGCCTCATTGAACCACAAAACAGATGTCAGTCCAACATAAACCTGTTCCAAACCATGTTCTCTCTTTAAAAAAAAAAAAAAGAAGAGTTAGTTGACTGAGAAAAAAAATAAATTTTCTGATCGGAAATTGAGTGCTGTTTCTCTTAAACGGTGTTGCCTGATTGTTTTTGTTGTTGTTTGTTTTCTGAACAAATTCACTAGGTTTTTTCTTCGGTTTTTTTTTCTTCAGGAGAGGCCAGTAAACAGATACATGATTATAAGTTTAAGTTACAAAAGGCTGAGCAGGACATAGCAACACTAGAAGGAATGGTAAGTGATTGTTGTGATTCTTTGCTTTTTTTTTTTTAAATTAAATTTTTAATGGGCGCTGGTAAAGCACTGCTGAATTAACTCTGGCTCCCCAGTCGACCCAACCTCAAATGGACACTGGGAATTATCAAGGGAAGTAAAGTCATCCAGCATGATACTGACCACATCACCCACCAGGTACCAATTGGTCTATAAAATACGGAATTATTACAGTAATATCTAATATGCCGGAAGAATGGGCACTTTGCTTACTTCAACCGTTTGTCTTTCCGACAGGTCAGTTCAATAATCTAAAGTAGTTTTTTTTTCCAGTTTGGTGCCCTGCTGATCTCTGGGGTTCTGTGACATAATTTATAGAAATAATAAAAAACCTCAACATTAGAATGCAGTTTCTTCCACAGTTTGAATATTTATAAATTAAAATAAGGTCTTCAGTATGAGTACTAAAAAGTAAGGGCCCCACTGGCAGAGCTGTTAAAATATGAGGGGTCATCAGGTCTTAGCTAATTGGGAAGCACTGATCTAGGGGCCTGACTCACTGGGACCTGTTCTAGCGACACTACATTTTTTTTTTAAACCTTTGAAATACTTGCACACTAAGTAATCAGTGGTTCTAACTTCATGCTAAAGGGGTCATCCCCATGACTGTTTTATTCCGGTGCCAGTAAAATTCACATCAAATGCGTTTCACTATTGTTTCCTAGTTTAAAAAAAAAAAACCAGGTAATCACAGTCCCAATTTTATAGCAGTTGCTCTGTTACTATGCCAACTAAACTACATAAAATGCTCGTCACTGCCCTTTGTGAATTTTTTTTTTTTTTTTTTACATACTGCAATTTCAGAAAAACTAGTGGCATACACACACATCAGTGAACACGGTGGTCATCAGAAGTGCCAACACAGTTGGACACTTAATATACAGATAATCATTGATGGAAGGAGCAGTTACAACAGATCAGTAATTGTGCCACCAGTTTTCCATCAGTCGGCCACTCGCCTTTTTCTGATCTGCAGTTCACAGCGCAAACAACATTAAGCACAGTTAAAAAGGCTTTCTAAATGAAATCTGCAGCTCAGTGTCATGCCATGCATTTATCTCCCTGGACTGGTGACAGAACTATATCCTTTCAGTCTACCAATGGAGGAAAGTGCGATGACTAAAAATTTTCAAAAGCAAAAACTTGCCACAACTGAAACAATAAACTTGCCTAACCCCCATTTTGGCCAGAAGCAAAAAAATTATGAATAATCCCGAAGCTGTCTAATATAATGCTTGCATACTGCTTCACATACACTTTTCCTATTCTCAGGTGACACGATTAGATACTCAAGTTAAGAGATACAAATCTGATGCGGAAAGGGCTGAGGGAATGGAGGATGAGCTGAAGCAAGAAAAGAGAAAGTTACAGAAAGAGGTAAAATGTTTACCTGTAGTAATCCGTATCCAGGAAGCTATCATGGTGTAGTGGCTAGATGCTCACTTGCAGATCCAAAAGTCATGGGTTCAGGCCCTGATGGAGCCTGACCTTTTTTTTTTTTTTCAGGCATGACCTTGGTTCCCAGGTCGACCCATCCTTAAATGGGTACCAAGTAAAATCCTGGAAACTAAAGATGGCCGGCCAGCTTGAGGTTGACCACATCATGCACCAAGTGCCAGTTGGTCTAAAAAGTATAAGTCTAGCCCCTATATACCCAATACTCTTAAAGGTGTGAAAAGGGTCCTTTACTTACTTACTACTCTCAATCTGTGTCCTGTTTATGTCGTTGAAATAAAAGGCATTCACAAATTATCTCCATTGCTCCATTTTTCTATTTACTCTGCTTCTTCTTCTTCTTTGCGTTCGGTTTCGTATGCTCAGATCAGACCGTCAGGTGGGTTGCCTCTATGAACTCACATGTCCGTAGCAGGTTCCCCATAGCTTGCTCTGCAGACTTTGCTCTTGAGGCCAGGTGTCTTTTCGAAGTTGTATGTAGAGTTGGTAGGTCTGCAGAATGCGCTTAGGTGTTTGCGATCCTGTTTGACAGGCACAATGGGGGGGACTACAGTCTTTTTTTTTTAATGCATGTGGTAGTTGAGCCTGCAGTGTCCTTTTCATAGATGGACAATTTTTGTATGTTGCTTTCTGTTTAATCTGCTGATGGGGTCTTGTGGATGTTTACTATTAGTTTGTTCTCTCCACAATCCTTATATTTTCCTTTGATAAGTGTTCTCATTTCTGGTAATGATTATAGTGATCCAAAAGGTAAACAGTTTGTTGTTTAGTGAGGACTGTGATCAAAGTACTCAGGTCAGATCCATACCTCCTACTCAGTTCAACTAATCCTACACAGTTTGATAAACTGCTCTGTATATGTTTTGTTTATACAGATTAAAGCAGCCTTCTCTAGTTTGCTTTTGAAGATAACTGCTGATGAGTTTTCTGCACTTTGTAATTTTGTTTTTATTTGTCTGTTTTATACTGGAAATTGCCAAACAAAAACAGGATTTTATTTAGAATATATAATTTAGTTTTATTTGAGTACCGTTAAATGGATCAGAAATAAGAAAAACAGCCAAATCAATTAGTAATAAAGTTTTGTTTTTTAATTTAAAAAATGGAATTTGTGAGAAGAAAGAACTGAACAATGCCTAGTGAATCAAGAGGCAACGGAAATCACACATTTTAAAATAAAGTTCTGTATATGGAATCCACAAGGCAATTTAACTACAGTGAGATATACAAATACTTCCATTGTTTTAAAAGTGCTTACAGAGGGAAAGGGTTAAGGACATAGTAAACCATCCTCAGCATTTATTGCTGCTCTGTGGTTTTACTAGTCAATTTTACATTCACTAGTTTGCCATTGCCCTCTAAACAGTATGAAAAACATTGTCAAAATCAACACAAAGAAGTCCATTAGCAATCACCTACAGCTAATTCGAGCACAGGGATGTTGGGATTGTTAAACTGCCTTGTATATCGATATATCTTATACATATAAATATCATTCACTAGTGAAATATTAGAGAGCATGGGCCTTTTTTATTATATAAATGTGGATACAACTTTGTCTCACAACATTTTTGTGTGTGTTACATTTCAGCTGCGAGAAGCATTAACACAGATAGAGGAACTACAGAACCAGAATAAAAATCTAACAGCTCGATTGGAACGCATAAAACAGACAAGGACTGCTCTAGGCATTCAGTAAATGAGAATTATATCAAGAGAATTCAGTTTGTTCCATATCTGATCTCTATTTTTTTTTTTTATGTATACTTTTCATTTAAATTATACACAGGTGCAACTGCTTCTCTCTTTTGTCTGTGATTCTATGACCAGCTTTCCAGTAGAAAGTTCAGATAAACCTCCTGGGATGAGGATGAACAGCCAGGCATAGAGCGGCTTCCATCATGCATGTCTTGTAATATTGTTCTACTGAAGCACAAACGCTGGTGTCAATTACTGTCTTGATTGGGCACCTGTTATCTGAAAATCTAGAGTCCTGTTTTTTAACAAACATACAGTAATGTGACTGGCAGTTTGTTTCAGAATAAATCTTCATATTAAATTTCATATTTTAATGCAACTATTTGTTGGCTGGGTGTTTTTAATTATATTTTTAATGGCGCTTGAATCTGGTTAGGTCCGGACTTCGACCAAAGTGCATTGAATTATATCAGGAATGTGAATGCTTTGTGAACAGATGGATTGGCGTAACTTGAAACATGCAGGAACGGTTTGATAGCTGATCCTGCATGAATTAGTCCCTAGATGTGAACCAATTGATGCTGATCATGTGATAGATAAATTACAGAAAATATTCAACGATCTTTCCAATAATTGTACCAAGGAGGTTAAAGCAACACACAAACAAAAAGTGTCTTTGAAACAGTTTTGATTCAGGTTTTCTTTCTGTTTTATGAAGGTTTTTGTGGTGATTGTAATTGACCTTCTTTTCCTATAGATCATGAACCAGTATTTGCAGTGTGTTCACATTCCTTTTCCCTTTTAGGTATAGTCTTATGTTATAACCCTGCTCATGAAAGGACAGGTGTGTTGGTGATTTACTATGTCAGCCATTGATTTAATAAATTTAAAGGTTTTTTAGGCAAGAGCATCAACTTTGCTGCACTGAGTTTTTTTACCCCACCTGGTTCAGTCTCTCTCTGCGGAATGGCTGGCCGCCTGCCTAGACTGTCACATAAACTAGTTTAGATAATTATCCCCAGGGATCTCCGTCAAAATGGCACTTGTTTACCAAGCCACATGGTCGGAAAACAAGCCTATGACCTTTGGAATGTGAGGCGAACTGTTAAACCACTTAGCCACGTGAAGTCCCATGATTGATTTAACCAAGAGGAGCGTGCAAGTCGGACATAACTTGGGTGTCTTTTGTCCACTTACGTGTGATTCCATCACCTTACAGACAGATCACAGAATCATAGATTTTATATTATACTGGAGAAGGAAGTATTTCAACAATTCTTCAGAACTGGGTGCTAAATTTGTATTTCTGAGAACTGCATTGAGCTGCATGAGGGAATAACGAACAGCAGGGACAAGTCAGAAATTGTTTTCATCCTTTTTTTTTACTTCACCTGACACAACTTTCTGAAGAGTCATTCAAGATGTTTTCTTTCCCTTCCAAAGTGTTGTGAGAATGAGTGATGCAAGGGCCCTAATATAAGAAGCAATCTTTTTTTTTTTTTTTTTTTTGATTTGTGCTTCTTTTAAGGCAGTTGTCATTTTTGGGGCCACATTATTAGAAGAAATTAACTGGAACAAAAGAAAAAACTGGAACATGCTGTGACGACTGGAAGGATTTGTGGGAAGAGAGATAGAGGAAGACAGCGTGAGAAGGTTTATGTCAGCCTTTGTCATTGCATGGAAGGTTGTCAGTAAATGACCTGCCCTGTGTTATCAGAGACTGCCAGTTGTGGAGGCGAATGATGGCCCAGGCTGGTCGGCAAGCCGCTCGGTGATGATGATGATGATGTGCTTGCTTCATGGAACTATCTGATCATATACTCATGTTGTGGATGCTGAAAAAGAGAGTAGATTGTCGTGTAGAGATGCAGCAGTGCTGCTGTCTCCTGTATGTTTATCAAGCATGTATGCTGAAACTGTTACCAGGCCTGTAAGGAAAGCAAAGAATAGTTGCACTATGACCTACCATAGATGTTGTATGAGGACACTCAGGAGGGTTGGTTTCCTTATATGGTTAAAAAAAAAAAAAACTTTAGCTCAACTCTTTTAGTCCCAGGCAGTTATATTACTTTAACTCATTCTATCCCATGCGGTTGAGCTTAACGGTAATAAATACTTGGGTCTAAAGGAGTTTGACAGAGACACAATGGGACAGAGGTAGCTGAACTAATAATTCAGACACAAAGGGTTAATATAAAATCTGTCTGATACCAAGAAATTTATAATTATCTTTATCTAAGAAAAATATAGAGTGTTGTTTGGTACTGAGAGAGTTAAAAATCCAGCCAATCATGTAGAAGTTAAACAGTGGCTAGGTGCTTGCCTGCTGGCTTGAAACCTAGGTTTTGAATCCATACTAGGCAGAATTTAAAAGAGAAGATCTTGGCCCAGCCTAAATGGGTACCTGGAAATGTCATGGGAAGTAAAGGTGGCTATGTGTTGTTGACCACATTACCTTATATGAGTTTGAAAAAGCTTGAGCTAAACAGTAGAACCAGTCATGCACGTGTCGGTGGCATGGTAGTAGAGTGACTAAATAAACACTTGCCTGCTTGGCTGAACTTGGGTTTGAATTCGCACAAATATATATATCTTGGCTCCTAAATATTCTTGGCAGTAGGGGTGGCCAGCCTGTTGTTGACCACATTACCAGTATGGAGTTTGAAGAACGGATCAACATAATGGCTCACGGGTAGTAACCCATAAGTGCTCCGTTCTACTTCTAACTCACATTACCAGTATGGAGTTTGAAGAACGGATCAACATAATGGCTCACGGGTAGTAACCCATAAGTGCTCCGTTCTACTTCTAACTCACATTACCAGTATGAAGAACGTATTTGAAGAAACCCATAAGTGCTCCGTTATACTTCTAACTCACATTACCAGTATGGAGTTTGAAGAACGGATCAACATAATGGCTCACGGGTAGTAACCCATAAGTGCTCCGTTCTACTTCTAACTCCCATTACCAGTATGGAGTTTGAAGAACGGATCAACATAATGGCACACGGGTAGTAACCCATAAGTGCTCCGTTTTACTCCTAACTCATATTACCAGTTAAATGTCAATTGGTATATAATAAAATTGAGTCTTGCATTGTGTGCTCGAAACACCACTGCCTTTTTAAAACAAAAGGTTGGGAAAGGGGGGGGGGGGGGCTTTTACCTAAACAAATCTACAAAAGGCTTGGGATGAGTTCAGTGAGGGTGTGTGTTCCATTAGGAGATGAAAGGCTGAAAAAGAAAGCCGGAAGTGAAAAATAGTTAACTACGTTTTGCAGTAAACCGCACTCGGTAACCCATTCACAATTCAGGTTGTTGTTTTTTTTTGCAGTTCATTTTAACTCTTTCAGGACATTTTTTTTCTGGGGTTTGGACAACATTAATTTTGAAAGGAATTTTTTTTTTACTGCAACATGACAACGCTAACCCCTTCCTTAAAAAAAAAAAGTATTAGCTGCATAGGAACATATAATACATCAGATTCAAGTGAAATGAGTGCAGAAGCAGTCTAAACTATGTAAGTGTCAGTATTACAACAAAATATTCTTAAAATCACACACCATTAAAAGATTTTAGACATACGTGAAGTTAAGATTATTTACACAAAACATGTTGTGCTTACCTTACTTTTTACTTATTCAGCAACACTGCTATCCATTTTTAAGAATTCACATGCCTTCTCTGTTCTGTTATGTATCAGTCAGTCAGTAGCATGTCCTTTGCAGAACCTTGCTTCCTTAACAACCTTCCGGAAAACTTCTTGATCACAGCAAGAGTCCCGCGTTTGATACACCCATCTGAAGATCATCCGCCACATCCTACACTCATCTTTTCTTTGACCTTCCTCTTTCTCATGGATGGAGGGGTGTCAGCACATGCTGTTAGATCGCAGGTTGTGGAGAGGCGTGATTGCCAGCGCCACTCGGCAAGACACTTTATTATGATGAACATGAAATGTGTACAGTGTAATTAGTTCTGTAGATGACTGCATGTGATGTTGTGTAATTAGAATGGATTCCATTCACTTTATTAAATTTTTGCAAGACTTGTACCCCCATTATATTGTATAGTTTTGGGTGTGTTATTTTTTTTTAGTACATTTATGAATTTTTTTTACAGAACCAGTGTGCAATGCAGACTATTTGTGATTGGAATAATGTTGCTAGGAGTAGTTACAGGTGTTGTGTGTGAATTTTTTTTTTAAACAGAAATATTCCAAGATTTATTTTTCTTTTATCATTTTAGTTTGCATGGTCTTTATTTGATTTGCAGTGTTTTCCTTTTGAATCCGATTTGTAAAGATGAAAAAAAAAAAATGATCATTTTGTTCTTCATTACGATACAAATAAACTTTATCAACACACAAAAGTGCAGTCTAATGATGATTTGTAATTATTTCGTGTCAGCATTGTTACCTTGTCTGTTGCACTGAATCTTTACATCTACCATGTTTCCATAACAATAAGAGCTAACAGGATTTTTTTTTAAATGATGCTTATAATATAACCCCTCTACCCCCAAATATAAGTTAAGATTATAAGCCAGATGGACATATTTAATTTATCTATTGAAACACACAAGGGACATATTGAATTAAAATGTCATAAATGAGTCAAGAAACTATTGATATTGACACTAATGCTGGAAATAAATGATATTGTAAATATTGATTTTTTTACATTAAAAAAGAAGATATAGAGATAAGCTCTCAGGTGTGTTTTAGAAGCAAAATGAATATAAAAATAAGACTGTCTTATGTTTGGGGGAAAACAGTATGTATAGTTCTTGAAGAATTTCATTGTCTGTCATGTAAACTCTTAACTCTTCATCAACACACCAGAGTTTATAGTCTAACACTGATGTTTAATACAGTGGTACCACAATAAATGTCAGCTTTTTAATAATAAGTTTAACTTGGTATACATTTGTTAAGACATGAAAAACTTTGCTTGGTATACATTATTTGTTTGGAATACGACACATGCTTGTGAGCTCA